ATGCACCAAATAGTGTGGTGAAGTAGAGTTCATGAAGTCCAACAGGACTCATTAATAATATACTCTGTAAATATTATTGTAAGGGGAGTTTCACACATCAATATGTAAGCTATGTGGTCCCTGTTGCATATCTGCGTCTCAAATTGACAGTATCAGTCCTCTGTGTGTGAAGTTGAAATATGGTAATGAAAGTTGACTCAATCTGAAAAGAACTTGGAGTCAACACTAAAAAGTTCAAAGGTCAAAAAATCACTGGGACAGATCACCAAGCTTAATGTTGAAAATATTTTATCTATCTATTGTAGGGCTACAATTAACATTATGAGTTGATCTGTTCTTTTTTTATTAATAGCTACTTGTTTAGTCTGTAAAATGTCAAAATATTGTGGAAAATGTACATTAACACATTCATAAACCCACAGTTATGTCTTTACTTTTTGTACAGAAAGGTAAAGAAGACATCTTATATATTTCCATTTTATAAAACGGTGCAACCATTAAAAAACCTCACAATCTTGGGTTTGAATATTTCACTCATAATGCTTCAACAAAGAGCTTGAACAAGCTGAAGAAGAATGGGTCATTATCACACAGTAACATGAAGTTACTGCGGTAGATTACAAATAAACAGGCCAACAGAGTCATGAATCAAGCTGTAAAACAGTGCTGTGTTTCCACGTATTCTTGCTTTGTATTTCTACATGATAAACAGTCAGATTGAAATGCCTCTTTTCAATCAGTCAGATTACTTTGTTAAAAAATGGAAATTGCATTTTCCTCCAGTGTGTGATATTCTGTTCTGCTTCTGCTGCTGATACATTTTGTTGTTGCTGTTTGTTTGTTTGTTTTTGACTGAAAAAGCTCCCGTCTCTCTTTTTCCTGAAATAGGTTTCACAGCTTTAAAGCAGCAGTCAGTAACAATTGAACATACAATGCTAAACCTTCCGCGTATCACTCCGCTAAGCCCCTCCCACCAAAGCCACCTGTGCCCTCTCACATTGACTAGTCTTCTCAAAGATGCCCCTCCAACACTTCATGGCCCGGGGCACAGCGCCGTGCCTCTTTGCCACTCGTCAATACGAGCGCCATGAAACATGATGAGCCTGAAACTCAGTGTGGAGCCAGGAAGTGATCACACACGTGTTTTGTACTTTACGCTGATGTCAAAGGATCTTTTTAGTCACTTTGTGTCATTTTGTTGTCGGTTAAGTCTCATTTTGTTTGTGGTTGTTCCCCATCTCTTAGTCATTTTACATCTCATTTTGCATCTCTTGTGATCTATTAGTGTATCTTTTTAGTCGTTTTTGTGTCTTTTTTCGTCATTAGATTGCCTTTCCGTTCAGTAATTAATCCGTGCAAGGCAGCTACCTACCACCTTCTGACTCTGGTAGGGGTGGGCAGTAAGAATGGCCACCCCTGTTTGAGACACTTGAACACACTAACATAGTTCATGAATACTCACTTAGCATTCCCACATTGCTTGGTGGTGTTGTGTGAGGAAATAATCTTGAAGGAGTTGTCAGAAAATTTAAGGAAGGAAAGGGTAAAGGCCTGCTCGGTGGGTGGGTGGGTGGGTGTGTAGGGAGGTGTGTGTGTGTGTGTCCCCTCTCTGGGGAGTATTACAGAGACCAAAGTTTACAGTAATAGGAAATGTGCTGTGAGCTTGAACTTGCTCCCCTGATGAAGTTGATTCACAGAAATGAGGCCTGTTTTGCTGTTGCTCAACCAGTCAAACATCTGCTGCCTGTTTTTCTTTTTTTTGTTGTTTTTTTTCTCTTCTTCTTTTTTTTTTCCTCCACAGACACACATGGTTCCTCAAAGATGCTCTTAGTCAGAAACTCATTCACATTAAATTCCTCTCAATGAGTCACTCTGAGCTCAAGTGCTCACCGACACACAAAAACACCAAGTCTCAGTAGCTGTCGCACTTCCTGTGTAGTTACGATGGAGATGGATGATGAAGTTTTAACGCACATCCTTTACTCTTCATCCTCTAGTGTTTGGATTGAAATGGATAAATACATATTCAATAATCAGCAATGTCCGAATAGTTTTAAAATCTTTTACATTTCAAATCTTCTGTAAGTAGGGCTGCGACTAACAATTATTTTCATTATTGATGACTGAGGATTATTTTCTCAATTAATCATATGGCCTATACATGTCAAACACAGAAAAATGCACGTTATATTTTCCTAAAGCCCAAGCGGACATCTTCAGATGTTTTTTGACCGATCAACAGGCCAAAACCCAAAGATATTCAGTTTAATATGATATTAAATGGCAAAAAACAGCAAATCCTCACATTCTGGGGAGTTTAAACAAGAAAATTTGGGATAAAATAACAAACTATTAATCAGTTATTGAAAGAATTGGCAGTTTGTTTTCTGTAGATCAATTAGTCGTTTCAGCTCTAATTGTATATTTATTCATTTAAATTGCAGAAGAATAACAAGCACTAATGTTTCCACTTGGAATGCACCAATATCGAATTTCAGGTGTGTAGTTGTTGTGGAGCGTTGTCACAGAGTTGTAGATTTTCACGGAAAGTTTTTTTTGTTTTTTTTAAAGCACTTTAAGGGCTTAGTTGGGGTTCAGAGGTAATTTTTGATCTTCGAAACAGCGGTTGACAAAACCAAATCAAAAACAATCTGCTGATGAAGACCATGTGAAACAAAAGCTTCACAACAGCTTCTCAGTCAACCTTGCAGTGAGATTGTTGTGTCAAGAATTAACTCCTTAAATCATCTTTTTTTTTTTTACTTAATTGATTTTTTTTTTATTTACTTGCCTCTGTAGTGTGACTGAATATTATGAGTATCAAGTATTGCTTTGAATATCTTGTACAATAACAACAGCTTGTTTTTAATCTGTATGCAGAGGAAAATGTGTGCACACCTTCCCCTCTGAGAATACACTGATTGTATCTTTCTCACTTTCTTTCTAAGAATTCCAGTTATTAGAAAACCTGAAAGCTTTAACCTGAATCTGAAGAAGCAGAAACTAATTTCTCTGAACACCCTGGACTAAAATTCAGCTGTGGCAGCAATTTGGTACAAGTAGATTCTCAGTCAGTTCCTCATTCACTGACTCAGATCTCACTAAATGAGTCACATCCCTCTCATCTTTTTATTGATAATATTAGCCACTGTGGTTGAAACACAGAGCATTTGGATTTATGGGGTTCATTCACGTCACTGGAAAACTGAGGAAATTGGACGAGTAGGGGGTTAATCTATTCTTTTGGGGTGGGTGGGTGGGTGGGTGTGTGTGTGGGGGATTTACATAGGCATTCCTCAGGCTCACACACTGTCACATAGACTCAAACTCATCCGGTGGATAAAGCCCTGGAATCCGTCCTCCTTGCTCTTTCTTGTGCTCTCTCCTACCCAGTCTCGTCTGTTTCCTTTTGCTGCTTCTGCTCTCTCACACTACTCACTCCCCTCCACCCTTGTAATGTTTTTTTGTTCTGCTTGCTTGCATACGCTTGTCCCATAGTGTTTGGTGTTGGTCCAACTGTAGCTTGTTAGCATTGCTGTGTTTGTTAATGGGAGAAAGTGTAGTGCTATTGCTGCTATCAATATACATTTTAGTGGGCTCCATCCTGGGCTGGGTGATAATATTTATGATCACTTCATATAATTATATCACGATAAAGTGAAGATATTGCAGTACATGGTCAAAATGTGTCACAGTGTATGATCCTTCTTCTTTTTTTTGATTTATTGATGGATGGTAAGTACTGTGTAATTAAACCAATATATCATGTATAGTTTGTAGCTAAGTGCATGTTCTAGTGTTGGTCGAACTACATAAATACATATGTAGCTAACATGTGACGCACAAACTGTTGTTCCTCAATAAAAGCTGCAGACTTTTGTATCTCAGCGTAGTTCTATCCGCTGTCACCTAGGCTTCATTTCATTTTCATTTCAGTGGTGACTTCTGACCTGACATGCCACCGGCCTGTACACACATGGCTGACCGAGGCGTGAGTGTGAGTGTGTGTTTATGCCGGTGGCTGTGTCCGCGCTCGTTTTTTGTCTGGGGGCTCAAACGCTCCGCATCGCTTTAAGAGTGACATATGATTAGTTTGAGTGCATGTGTTTGTAGTTGTGCACAAACCATCCTTCTGTTCCAGCTGGGTTTTTAAGTTTACCTGCATGGGACAGGGCTTTAAAGAGCGGTCTGCTCTGCTTTATTACTGTATAGGGTCAGGGTCACTGATGGTTTTGTTGGTCGGTGGTCGGCATATAGTCACTGAAGTTCATGCTGTGTGCCTCAAGTCAAAGAGCCGCCAGGAAGCCCCTCATATCTCATTTAACTTCATCAATTACACAGTTTGTCCTGCTGGGGTCGACCTTGGAGCTCTGCCACAGTCACATTCCTATGGTTCACTGCCATTTCTTTCACAGAGGGAGGCTCCAATTTCAGCAGCGCGGAGAATTCACACTTGCACATATAGAAACTGCGTATACTGTATACATTCACACATTAGCAGTCAGCCATTCACACACATGCACACAAACACAACAATATAACCGCACAGACAAAATGTGTCACACACTGACAGAAACTAGCACTGCTTTCCAAGCTTTCTGTGGACGATTTGAAAGGTTCAAAGACTCAGCGAATAGTAGAATAGGCAGCATCCATGTTGCAGACATGTATGTCTGTGGTGTAGTGTGATATTTGTAGCTTTGCTTAAAATAAGACTGATTGCAGTGTCACCCTACTCAGAAGTCTTTTCCATTCTAGCTAACTCAACCACAGTAGAGGGATTCAGGGAACTTGGTAGTATCACATGGTCTGCCACCTTAGACATCAGCGGCTGGTTAAAGATTCATTTCATCATTTTATTATTTACACAAACCAGTTTTGGTTAAAACTGCTGTTGAACACAATAAAAGATAGTCGTGACACACTGCTTTTATGTTTCAGTTTCTACTTTCTTCTTTCTGTTTCTATGCCTTTCATCATGTCTTCATTGTGTTTTTCAGGCCTCCAGTCCCAAGCTGACGACTCACTGCTCAGATATCCAAGAAGTCCGTCGTTGCAACCGGCTGGAGATGCCTGACAACTTAAACACATTTGTTTTAAAGGTATGTACGGGGTTTCAACTCAACTCTATCTGTTCAAAAAGCAGACTCTGCCCACTGTGTTGTTTATATCCACATTGCTTAGATCTTCAACCCTCAATCTGTGATTGAAACATGAAGAGGAAACAGGACAATCATTGTGTCATATCATGTCATAACAAAACTCTCCAAATAGCCCTCATTTAGGCCTCACAGTGAAAAGTGCTTTGAGTGGTCGGAAGACTAGAAAGGCTCTATAGAAGTACAAACTATTTTCCAGTACTCGCCACTCTGTAGTTTTCTCTTCCCAAACAGCAGCTTGGATTATGCCAGTTATAATGGACTCAGTATAGGTTTCATGTGCGGTAAAAACGTATCAAAACATCCACAGAAACTTCTCACATCACCAGCCACGTTTCTGCTGTCCATCCACATCCTCCACCAACTATAGAAAATGTATCTTCATCTGTGTTTTAGTGAACTTGTTTGTTTACTGACCACATGGAGGGCAGCAGAGAAGTGGATTCTGCTGCAGGAGTGGTTTGAAAGAATTTTCTTGTGGAAACCATTGCAATCTGGTGTAATAAACCTGAATCCAAATAGATTATTACCTTAGTTCACAATAAAGAAGCAAACTACAACATTTTTAGAGCCATAACAGTGAGTAAGTGAGTATTAAATAGCAGGCACACTTTCTTTCACAGTTTGGTAGCCTGACTAGTGCTGAAAAGAATTCAGTAGAAAAATAGGTAGATTTAACATATTCTGGATACTTCCTCCCATCTTTCTTTTTAATTTATAAAGTTCTGCTTCTGCAAAAGTCTCTGACTATTGTTAGCATATCTCCGACAGATTTAGACACCCTTATTTCATATCTGGTGGCTCAATAAAAGTAAATTCCCTGAGGCTTTTTGACCCTTGAATGTTAAACCTTTGATACTTTGAGGTGCATGTTGTTTTTAGTTTTTTCTGTCTTCCCTGTAATTATTAATTCTATATTGTGTATGTATAATATGTCGATCTATTTTTTGGTATTAGTTAACTCAGAAGTTTCACCTGGACCTGTTTTTGATCATTACAATAAGCTACAAAACTTAGAAAACATTTGAGCCTACACCTAAATGTGTCGTCAGTGTATGTACAGTCTAGTACATTTCTTGCAGTTTCACAGTGTAGTGCAGTCCAGCATCTATAGAACATGGATGGTTTATATGAAAGCACCTTTGTCTCTGCAGGTTAATCGAGGTAGTCTGATATTTGAGACAGACAACGACCAGCAGGTCAGCTCCTGGACCACAGAGCTAAAAGAATGTATCACCAACAGGTGAGAAACACTACCTGTACCTACTTTTATATTACCTGATACCTCAATATTTCAACCCAGTCTGTTTCAAACATTTGCTTTTTCAAATTTGATCCAAATTCTGGCAAAGACTAACCAAACTGAAGACTGAAGTTGCAACTCATTTTAAAACCTTAAACTTAGAGGGGGGCTATTCTTTAGCATTGAGTCCAACTCAAAACTGAAATCAATAGTTTGGCTTTTCCTGACAAAGCCAGCTGGGTCCCAAGCTCACACCGAGGATGGTAATAGGAGCCTTCATCGTCCTCATCTGTCTCCCCTAACGCAGCTTTTTTCCCTTAAGATTCTGGATCTTTGTGGGCGTGGTGAATGTTTACTTGTGTGGAGGTGAAAATGCAAACACATACTGCATACCTGCTTTATGGCTCTACAGACTGAAGCAGATTTGGGCCTTATATTTGGAATATTCATGGAAAAAATGTATTTATCAAACTCATCAGCCGACTTAATATTTACCCCAAACCTTTGAGAGGTAGCACATGTGGTGTGGAGAGTGTTCTGTTAGGAATTAAGTTCTGCAGTAAATGTATTTTTAAAATTGAACCCAAGTTTTTCTTGTATGTACAGTAAAAGTTAAACTTATTAATGTTGGAGAGTTGTGTGGGAGTCCTGGTAGGGTAGTGATTACTTTTGTTTAGTATATATTGTGGATACAATGTCCCTGGATCCTTTTCAGAATCATAATTTATAAGATGATGACTGTGCTGGCAGATCAGTCTACCAAATAGAACAATAATATATAATGATCTGAAGATTTGTCAACAAAAATAGTACAACATAACTTTTATAGACTTGGCGGTCCTCTAAGCGAGTGGTTCTCTAGCTTTTTCACTATGAAACTGACTCCAAAAAGACACACATTACTAAAGAAAATAAATAATAGTATAAGAAAATGTAAGAAAATACCTCAACTTGACCTCAGATAAACCGAAGATGATGGATGGAAGGATGAAAATAAGAAAGAAGAAGAAAACATTAGAAGTTGTAAAAGAAGTTAAAATTTAATGTTTCTTAAAAGAAACATTTGTATTTGGGGCAATTCTCTACATGAAGGAATATTCATAGTAATACCCAATACAAATTAGAGGAATACTTAAGTTTTCTGTTTCTTGAGTGGACTTTTTACACGATAACGTCCAAAAAAAACTTTTATAAGTTTGACCGTGTGTGTGTGTGTGTGTGTGTGTGTGTGTGTGAAAGGAAGTGTGGGGGAGGTCTGAGACTCGGGAGAATCTCAGGACCTTTCTCATTTCAGCAGATGTCTGGAATGCTCTTAGACACACTAACACACACACACACAGTCGGTAGTCAGCAGTACAGTGAATATTAATCCAGTGTGGAAGTGAGGTCAGAGTTCACTCTTGAATTCATTGTTTGTTCACATACTTCAACTGAACTTCAGCTTCAGTTTATTTAAAGTGCAATGTGGTTAAGCCAGTGGCACAGGCGACCATGTTAACATCACACTAAATGAAATACGCCCAGGCCACGTGTGCATGACGCCCGTGTAAGCCCTGCAAGTCTATCGAAATTGTGGGTGTAATGTCAGAGGTGGGTCAGGCGCTAGCGAGGCGTTAAATGTACTGGTGTGCATGAATACTGATACAATCCACCCCTCATATCCCGCAGACTGTGTTCATTTGCTCCCCAGAATGCAACCGCTGTGAAACAATCTTAAAAAAAAAAAACAACACTCGGTTTTCTGAATAACTGCTTTGCTCTCACCAAAGCCCCTCACTCTCCCCATTTCACCTCAAGCTCGCTTGACAATTGGTGCCCTCAGTCCAACTTTGACTGGCGTGTCCACAACTGCAATCTACAAATCCTACTCATTCAAGTTGTAGAGAAAAAAGAAGATAATATCACTTTATTCAAACTGAGGATTCTGTTCAAAGATTTTAAAAAATGTTTTAGGGTGATGACAAATATGATCTGATCACTTTCAAAGCTTTGTGCGAAAAACCTCAACAGAAGCTGCTGTCTGCTGTGGAAATGGCCAATTGTCCAAAAGTGTGCGCCATTTAATGTTGAGACTACAACAACCTGCAAAAAGAGTCAGTGGAGGCAGGTTGACACAGCCAGGTGGTGGAAGCTGTGCTACGCTAGGCAGGTGTTTTGGTTTGCCCTCGAGTGCGGCCACTTGGAACAGGTATAAACACTTTCCACTTTAGATGTGGTCGGCGTAGTTTGTTTGAAGCATACTGAGCCCTTAACTCTAATCCTTGAAGCATTGCTGACGGGCTGAAATGTTCACCCATTACAAGAGTGAAACGTAAAATGATTCTCACAAAGATAGAAGAACAAGAACACACACACACACACACACAATGCCCTGGGTGAGGAGAAAGGAGACTTGTCTTCCTGTTATTCAGAGTGCTGCAAACTCAAGTCAGCATTTCGGCAGGATTTGCTCCAGCTTCCCTCTTTAACCTTCCCGTTCTCATCTGTGTATGTGCACACACATACCGTGTGTGTGTGTGTGTGCGTGTGTGCGTGAGTGAGCAGTGAAACAGAAGAACAGTAAGTCTTAGTTCAGATCTGAACTGGTGAACTGGACTCACTTCCTGTCTGTGCTCGGTGGCTTTGTGTTCGTTCAGCCTGCTGTTTCCTCCATGTTCACTAGACTCATCCCACCAACACTCCCCCCCGCCCCCCCCCATTCAAATTAGCTTTATTGGCATGAATGTGTATTGCCAAAGCATCATACATACAACATAAGAACAATCAACCCCATACATTTCATTAAACAAATAATCAAAGCATATGTCTCACTCACTCACTCACTCACTCACTCACTCATATATATATTCGTTCTCTACCCATATCGGTTGTTCCCCCTCCTGCATGAAAGTGTGATATGTAGCATATTAGCATAAATCAACACTAAGTGAGTATTTTCCAGCACCTACACTGCATTTAACAGTAACTTTTTGATGCTGATCTTCCACTACAAGCAGAGTGTGAGGTTTCCTAGAAGAACAATTGTGAAACCCAAATAGGGAAAAATTACTTAAATAAATGAATTAATCATGAAATTGACTTATTTAATCCTCAGGTGGTCCACAATAAGATTAAAATGCATGTATCTCTGTTCTTGTCCTTCAGGTCAGACAGTGTGGATCTGGAGCCCCTCCCCTCCCCGGTTGACAGCTCTGCTCCAGCCAATCACAGAGGGAGCGCAGAGTTAGGAAGTCAAAGTAAGTGGTGAGATGAGGGAGGCCTTTGCTTCGGTGTAGAAGTCTTGTCAGGACACATCCTCTAACAATCGGGGTGTAGATAGTGTGTTCATATAATCAATCATGTCCTCCTGAAACCCTCAGGTTTACAGTTGTGAGGCTAGATGTTGACATCCTGGTGTCCAGAGATATGATTTGTTTACAACCTATCTGAACTTTGTTTTAGTGATGTCACTGTGCTCCCAGACTTCAGCAGTTAAGTAAGTGAATACATTGTTATCATAACCAACAGAAACAGTGAAAAAAATCTGCTCATCTCTCCAGGCCCCGTCACCTTTGCCCCGCCAGAGCAGGGTGTCCAGAAGACTGATCATTTCCTGTTCTCCTACCCCTGGTTCCACGGGCCCATCTCCCGCGTCAAGGCAGCCTACCTGGTTCAGAGCTCTGGACCGGAGGGACACGGCGTGTTTCTGGTCCGACAGAGCGAGACGCGCAGAGGTGACTACGTCCTCACGTTTAACTACCAGGGAAAAGCAAAGGTACGTCTCACAATGTCTGATAAAGCAAGACTTGTCTAATGGAAGGCTCATTCACACTGGCATTTTAGTTCACATCAAGAAGTGGTCGACAAAAGAATTTAGTAATATGAATTAATCCCCATTGTTCTTCTTTCGGTGATATCTACATCAAAATGGGTGCAGACCTCATTTCCTGCCAATGGTGGTAAACACTTGAATGAGGAAGCATTATGCAAACACATCACTCATTGGAAAGTGAGAATTCGAAAAGATGGCTTATTGCGATTATTTTGACTGACATTGTAATTGAAATATGACTTGCGCTATTGAAGGGAATGATCATTTTTACATCATCAAAATAAATGAATATGGGGTGATTTTTGAGGGGTTTGGTACCATTGGTAAATATGGTAGAATATGATGTGTAGGCCAGGACCTCTCTGCAGCACAAGATTTCATTTAAAATGTTAACACACTTTTCACCTTTAACAAATATTGCGCCTCCCACAATTTGAAAATTGCAGTAGGCCATATTTTGATTTCGATAACATTTTGATTGTTCAGCCCTAGTGTGAACACTGACCACCCAGGTACAGAAATAGAGGGGACAGAGCACGGTCAGCTCACTTGGTAGAGTGCCCGCCCAATCTACAGCGGCTCAGGTTCAAGTCCACCATGCGGGCCTTTGCTGCGTTTCGCCCCCTATCTCTCTTTCCATTTCCTACCAAGATGCAGGAAAAAAAAGGATAGGGCACAGGGCACACTTTAGCTCTGGCTCTGACTCAAACTGTGTGAAGACCTCACTTCTCATTTTTTTCTTTCCTCACGCCTCTGTCTCCGCAGCACCTGCGTCTCTCTCTGACAGAATGGGGTCAGTGCAGGGTACAGCACCTGCGCTTCCCCTCTGTTATGGACATGCTCAGTCACTTCCGCCTCTTCCCCATCCCGCTAGAGTGCGGCGCTGCCGGTGCCGTCACGCTGTCCAGCTTCGTAGTGGCGGGCTCCAGCCCTCCATCACAGGGTGAGAATCTACCGTTCACCTCACTCATGGCTCTTTATTCATGAGTGTTTGTAGCAGTGAGAATTTGACTTTTACTTCAACATGTTTCCCGCTGCTTTGGTCTTATTTTTGTCGTTTTCACCATCATTTTTACTGGTTATGGTAACATTGCACTTACCAAAGCAATTGCTGAGATCTGGAAACATGCCAAGTTTGTGGCGGCAAAGTCCGATGGGGCAACACACACAAGCAGTCAGACAAATGAGATGGTAGTTTAGTCAGACAGGTTATTACTTGTATAGGACAGAACTAAAGACAAAAAAAGGTTTTGGCACATTAAAATATATTATTTTTGACTCTTGTATAAATCTTCTTTTTCCTTGTGAAATATTGGCACATTTTCTAAAACCTTTTTTTTATTTTTTTATTCTGTAATTTAAAAAAGTTGTAAGAGAGAGGCCGTAAAACCCAAAGTGAAAAAACACATGAAATGTTGGTTATAATTCATCATTGCACAGAACAACTGTGGTGCACAACTTGGAAGTGTGATGGGTGTTTAAAAACCGTTGTTTTTTCCTCCTCGTGCAAGTTTTAGCAATATTGCCAAGTTCTCAATCTTAATATTTCCTTACCAAAACTACAAAAGTAAGATTCAGAATTATCCTTTAATTACATCGACAGTCCTGTGCTGCTGTTGTAATGCTAAGCAGGTGTGCAACTGAAATGCCAAGGAAGTTGAAGCTTTTTTTTTTTTCTTGATGTAGTCACCAAAACTCTCATTTCCTCTCTTTCCCCCTCCTCTTCCCTCAGGTCAGCTCTCAGGCGCTCTTCTCGTCCCTTTCTCCCTCCATCGGTGGAGTTCTGAGCCCAGCCTGGCTCACTGCAGCCTGGCTCGCAGCTCCACTCAGCCCCCTTCCTCCTGCTCCACCAGCGCCAGCACCACTTCCAGTCCCAGTTCTGTTTCCCAACCGGGAAATCGGCCATTCACTCGCACCAACCGCGTCCCTGACCCTCCTCCGCCAGCTCCCGCTCCTCTGCGTCGGAGTGAATCGGTGGGGAGGAGACCCCTGCTCCGCCACCCCAACCCGCACATCCCTCAACGGGACTCAGACTATGAGCTAGAGCCCGAGCGGGGCCGCAAGCGGGCGATAGACAACCAGTACATGTTGCTCTGACCCGCTGAGTCAAGCACCTTCATCACCTCTGACAGACTGCAGTCACACATGATCACACACACGTCACGTATTTTATTACCACCCCACCTACAAACATGTGGTGGGTGTGTGAGAGGCACCTCACAACCTCCACCCCGAGTGTCCGCAGTGAATGTATTTTTGTGAGTTTTATAACAGTGTTGACCATGATGATTATCCTCATTTTATTGATGTTGAGGTTCTGTGCGAGAGAGGGAGAGCCACGTGTGTAGCTGTCCTCAAGCCCAGGCCAAAAAAAAGTAAATGTTTAAATGCTTTTATACTTGTGAATATATAGAGGTGCACTTGATTTAACTTCATTGGCACTTAGACTGAACTGATGGGGAAGACACTGCCTGTGAAACTGATTAAATCAAGTGCTTCTGTAAAATATTTAAAAGACATTTTCTTTTTCACACACAAGAGATTTTGTGTGAAGCGCCTTTTTATACACACACCAACGAAGAAGCACTCTATTTGAGCGTGTCTGTACACTCTATTAGGTAGTCCTCCTCTTGTGCTTTATTATATATTTAAGTGCACGATGCTTTCAGTGCACTTTGGAAACAATGTGTATTTTTTCTATACACAGATTATTTTGTAGAAAAACAAAAAGATTAACTGAAAAGGGGAAAATGTGGTTAAAGTCAGTGTTACTAGAAACTGATCCTCTTCCCCCTTCAAACCTTCGCTGAAGCAAATACAGAAAACCACAGAAATGATTGTAGATCAGCTTTCTTCATCGGCACTGTCTGTACCTGAACATGTTTGTGGTGTGTGTCTGTGTGTGAGATGATTGAAAGTCCTTCAGCATGGCTGTGCTGATCTCAGTCTGGTACAGTATTCACCCCCAGAGACTTTGTGTCCCAAATCTCACTGCTAGGATTTTTCTAAAAGGGTCTTTGTAGTGTCACATGTTACATTTCAAGCACCAAAGGCGCTATGTGCACAAAATTCACTTTTGAATGAGCACAAAGTGTTTCATGGTCTCATAGAAATAACTTTTGAAATAAAATCAAAGAAAATGGAATGATGTAATAACGATATTATAATTGATATATCTTTGCCACCCTGCAGCCTCGAACAATGGTTTAGAAAATGGATGGATATTGTTACCATATTAATTTGTAATTAATTAATTTTCTGATGCAAAAGGTATTCTGTGCCACTACAATCATGTTTAAAAAGCATAACTCTGCCCCATGTGGACAATATCACACTTTCCACAAAGCACTTAGAATGAATTTCATTCCAGTCGTTACAAATTGGTGATGAGATATGAATTATGCTATAACAAGTCATTTGCATTGATTTTTGTGGCGTAAAAAGGTATTCTGTGTCACCAAAGTGAGACATAAAACAGAAATGGAAACATAGACTTGAAATGCTTCACTCCAAAGATCGTGAGGGGGGGGGGACTTCACGTACAGAAGGTATTTGACAAAGCTTCGTCTCGTCCTTGCAGTCGTGTGCGGATTCTCAACAAAAGTGAGAGCCGAAGCCCTAAAAAAACTTCAATCCAGTTTTGTCATGGTTTGATCATCTGTCATTAAACCTTTAATGGTCTCTTAAAAGTAGACCATGATATGATGCAACTCCCGAAAGTGCCTCTGTAGATATTAACATTTATTTTCTGAACAACTTCTTCAGGCAGATATTGATTCTGGGAGTAGCATCGCGTCTCCAGCTCATAATGTTAATTGTTTTTCTCAGTATTTTCTTAAATTTATGACCAATTAATAATTTGAGGTGCCTTCTGAGTTTGTCATCACACCTAAAAGCAGTTTTGACACACACCAAAGATGAAATGTCCAATTTTCTGTAATTTTGTTTCAATAACTGAAGCTTCACTTCATTAGCAGTGGGATGCCTGTGGGGAAACAGTGTGCTACAACATGTCTGTTTGTCTTCTTACCTTGCTTTAACACTAACTTTAGCATTTGATTAAGATTTACTTTCAGTAAACTTATGCTTAATGCATGTTTTAAACCTGAAGCTGTCTGTCTCTCTGCCCTCTTTATCGTTGTAGTTTCCTGTTTTTTTATTAAGAGACCTGCACAAGTGCAAGTTAATTTCCTCATGAACATGACTAGTGTAAGTCTGCTGTGATTACTCCTCTTGTTCTGCAATAAGTTGGCTTTGTCTATCAAAGGAATGTTTTTACAATGGTTGCGTAGTTCTCTTTAATGTATCATCTTGATAAAGACTGACATCTTTAAAAATGTGTTTATAAGGGGAACAAAAACAAGGACGTTTTTGGCAAAAGTACGGTTGGTCTTCCTGTCTTTATGTGCTCAAGTCAAACAAATCACTCGTCACCTCGGTGTTTCATTTCTGCTAAAGAAAGCAACGGTAACAATAACTATTTTGACTATCAGTCCCCTCTCTTTGCTGATTGTTTTTGTTTTAGGGAGAATGACTGTGCCTTTGCCAGAAAGCTGCTTTGCTTTTCCCCGGATGTGATGTGGTGCAGAGTAGTGCAATATCTGAGAGAAGCCCAGTGCTTCACACAACGTTTCATGTATGTAAGGAAGGATCAGACTTCTACATGGATGAGATAAGTGAGAATTCAATGTTTTGCACCTGCTCATACACTGAAGAAAACAAACATTTGACAAATGCCAAAGTTCCTAGAAAATAATGCTATATTTAAAGCCAGGGCTACCACATTTTCCTTTTGCTTTATGGCTTATAATTTTTTTTCATGGTTCACTCCAATTTGTCTGCATGAATCGAGTTAATGCTTAAGAAGAATCCCTGTGTACCTCAGGTGTCTTTAATCCTCAACACCTGCTCCAGCAAGACCTTTAGTCTACCCCGTATGTTTATTTTAAAAATGTCCAGTTGATGAATGTGTGTTCTCAATACTGTTCATTCTGTTTATTAATTTAGCACTGTAAACATTCCAGTTCAACCCAACGTCCCCTCAACAGCCAATGAAAACCAACAGCTTTTAAAATCGTCATTTTGTGTTTGCATCACTTTTAGTAATAAGCAATCTAAATTATATATATATATATATCTCAACTGTATATTTGACTTTTTGTAAAATAAAGCTAACCAAAAAAAAATAACTATTCACATGATCAGTTTGTGTGTGCGCACTCTTTGAAGTCTGTGTTGTCTTGTTTTTTTTGTATATGCTGTACAAAATAATAAGCATGTGATGAACCAAGACCACAAGATATTCACTGTTCAGATGATGGATGAAGTCGAGAGGTACTTACTGTTCTTACATGGTGTTTCAGGCCAGTGCTAGCAGGTTTCCTCGCAAGCAGAATCCAAATGTAGCCAAAAGAAATGTAGCCTCCACCATTAGAAGTCCCAATAACATTAACAGAATATTCCCGATTTGAATGATTGCCACATGAATTAAAGGAATAGTTTGATATTTTGGGAGACACCCTTTTATTCATCTTCTAACCAAGACTAAGCTAGCGTTAGCTAAGACTTACTACCACTCATACGTTTGGAAATGAATCTAGCTACAGTTAATAATTTTAAATGTTTGACATATTCAAGGTCACGAATGAACATTAAAGCTCAAAATTAGTAGTTATGTGGCAAAATAATCTTAATTCAAGAGGTCCACTTACTGCAGCAAATAGAGTTGGCTCATGGGTCACCTTGGTGCGGTAAGTCAAAAGCTCTGGGAAAAACTAATAAGCTTTGAGCTTTTATTTTCGCACACAACAGCCATCAATGGCTAGTGTTATGCCATACCCCCATCTAAAATGAATTCTGACAACCTACATTATATTGGGATGTAAATCCCACAGAAATATAGGAAAGCAACAAAAGCTTTATTTTCAATTGTCAATCTGCTGATTATTTTCCCAGTTAATCATTTTTCACCGCCTCCCAATACTTAGTGTGGAGATGCTAGAATAAATCAGACTTTATGTAAGAAAGGAATAAACGTCACCATATCCGATTTGATAACGATAACCATAATCTGTGAGTGAGGCATTAAAAAAACTTGAAAAAAAACCTAATACAGGTGTTTATCATGCATTTGTTGGTACTGTGCACCTTCCTACTGCAATGAACTTCAAAACCAAAACTCATTCCTCTGAGAGTACATAGTATTTTTAATATTTGTCAGTGTTTTAATGAGCGTGTCGCTTGTAATGAATTGTGTTGTGATCTACATGTGTAATTTATTCTCTTGTAAGAGATCTTGAAACTTTCTGAATAAATATTTAAAACCATATTTTCTGACCTGAACAAATACAAAAATTTGAGAAACTACAATACCTGTGATGAGAAACCCACAACGCAAGACAACCACAGTAAGCCATTCAGTTTTTAAAACTTTTTTATTGTTTTTAAATTTTTTTGCTCATTTTTTAAATTATTTATATTATCTACAAAGTAAAAGTTTTAACTTAAAAGTTACATAAGGGTCAGGTGAGAAGTGGGATCTGATCACCTCAGCCATTATAATTTCATAAATAACATTTCTCCTGTCCTCTTGGCTGCCAAAATGTGTTTATTTCACAGGAAGCTTCTTGTCATGTTTCGTTTTTAGTTTGGTTAGAAACCTTTCATGTAGTTTGGAAACAAACGCAGCACATAGCAGCAGCAATAAACAGTAAGATTAATACTGTCTAAAGGTTGGAAGATTTTTTTTTCCTCAGAACAAGGTGCAGACAAAATGCAAGTTCCAGTTTAATTTTCTTCTTCACTCTCACTGATTAGTTACTCTCATTCTCTCTGTCACGTCTTTACTTGGCAAGCTGACTCAAATTGCAATTTGGGACCCCTGAAAAAGTGTGTGTGTGTGTGTGTGTGTTTGCATGTGAACAGGGGCTGAATAGGAGCAGTCTTGTCTGTTAAAAACTCTCTAGCTCGTTAAAACATGTCACTGCATCAACCTGTTAACATTCTCTTATTGCCTAGTCTGGGAGGGAGGGAGGGAGGGAAGAGAAAAGCTGATGTGAAGCATGTCTGGTGAGGATGAGGAAAGAGTGGAGAGGGAGGGCTCTCATTCTCTTCATCGCCTGGTTATGAAGGCTCTGGTTGAGAAGCATGACGCAGAGTGGGTCCTTCGGCTCGCTGGCGCCCTCTATCTACAGCTGTTGCTGATGATGAGTTTGCACTGCAGAGACCAGAGACAAAATGGGGGAAATGTAAAGTTCATGCATTTAGAGATTCTCAAAATTCTCAATTCAATATGCTTTATTGGCATGAATGTTAAACAATGTTGCCAAAGCGGTTTGCTGCAAAATCAAAAGTTTACATCATGAATATAAGAATAAATGCAATCATGACCATGCAGTTTAGCAATTACAAGTTCTAACAACAAAAATAACAAATACAGATAGTCACTCGCTGTCCCTCAGGTTGGGACACAGAGACACTCGCTCATGTCCTTCTAAGATTATTCTTAATTTATAGTTATCTAAGTTCTTTGAAATCCGGTATTACTAGATTGAGTTTCTGAAAGTATTGTTCTGCTATGCTTCTATATTTGTCACATTTCAGGAGAATATGCATCTCCTGTCGTACAGTGCTCACATACTCTATATTTTTTAGGTAACCATGATGTTTTTATGTCTCCCTTTTTCAATTGCAAGGGTCACCGAGTCTGCACTTTGTAAGAAGCAGCACTGCTTGATATCTCTGACCGTAGAGAGATATTCAGCCATTTCATAATCTATGTTTACTGCTAGATAACAATCTAGTTTGTGGTGTTTTTTTTGTCTCTTCCTCCCAATGTTCCAAATAAGTATTTTTGCTTTGAGTGATCATTTGGCTTACTCTAACTGGTTTTTGTAAAGCAGTGCTGGTTTGAGAAAGGTGTGTGTGAGACATGTTGCAGGATTTGTTAGTTTCCGGACTAGCTGGCATAAGGGATTCTTTTCAGGGGGTTTTAAGAGCCTCGAATTGGAGGGAGTCTTGGGTACTTGATCTGAGGTGCATCAGAAAGTTGAGTGCTCTTTATTCTACCTTTAATCTCTCAAAATGTGATTGTTGTTTTTAGAGACTTCTAAAAGTGTGAACCGGGCCTTTTGTTGTCATTTTTTCTTTTGCAAAAAGCCTAAAACATGACTGTCCACATGCAAAGCAGCCATTTGCATATTTTGAGAAAAAGATGGGTTATCTTTGGCAGCCACATAAGTACCAGATTTAATAATAAATTTCTGCACAAGCAGGGCAGAAACTCAGTCCGCTAACTAATTTATCTTCTCCCACTGTTTCTTGACAAGACATCAGCCTGCTATTACAAAACAGCTGGCGTTGACTACTCGGCTGTGGGTAGGGACAGACTTTAAAAAGTCCACCCCCTGTTTGGTCCTCTGCCATGGCTTCACCTCTTGATAATATCTTGTCAAGCACAAATGAGTGTGCAGTCTTCCCCCCCCCCCCAGTCTGTTCCTCTGGTAGATGTGATTGTTAGATCCACTATGAGAGAGCCAGACCCAGCTAGCGATCTGGAGTCAAGAAAGAGCCACAAACTGCTGCGGATCAGTACAGACTGCAGCTATTCTTGTTACAGGTTAAGGGACTGTCCTGACAACTAGTGTAGGCAGTTAGTAAATGTGTGCACATTGTAATAAGTTTACTTTCACAATGTGGATCAAAAAACGCCTACATGTGCACATAAATGAAGTATAAACATCGGGTACAATGACATGCTAGCACACTTCTGACTGCTCCCCGCAGGAGTGTACTAGTTAATAAAATGAACATACCTTGTGGATGTGCTAGGTAGGAGAAATGTGTGGTGGAGGAAACGGGTATGGGGTTGAGGGCAGTCTGGGGCATTTGTGGCTGCGGACCACCTGGACCTTGGGTAGCCATTAGCATCATCGTGGGGTGGGTGGGTGCCGGGTGGTGAGACGGCACCATACTGGACTGCATATGGGCCTAGGTGTGAGAGAAAACACGAGTGTGACAGTGACACACAAGTAGAAGGACAAGAGAGTTCTTTAAAGAAACAGATGGGCATCAATGCAACAACATTCTCCAAGCAATTAAATGGGACAATTAACGGGTGTGGAGGATGGAATAAAGTATAGTGTCTTTATGGCAAACCCAAATGATTAATATTCTGTTCAAATGAATTGACTGTAGAACTTGGCTTAAACTCAGTCATCCCATCAAGCTCTTAAAGTAAAAGCAAGTTTGTTCTGCTAATTTATGACCTCAGGAGAGAGAAAGATGCAAAGTCACTATAACAAAAGCCTTAATGATGTAAACACAAAGTCTGAAATGTTCTCTGCCAACAATTGTACATTTGGTAGATCAGGCATCAGGAGGCAATCAGTCTAGAACAGGATACAGGGGGGGCAGCTAACCTGGCTCTCCGTGAAGTTCAAAATAATGCCTACCGTTCCACCAATCTCTAAAGGTCACTAATTTACATGATGTACCTCATTTGTTTAATCCACACACAAAAACAAAAAGGTCTCTGTACAGGCACAAAGGTACCAATCCTGACAACCTCACTGTGATGCCAAGACTCCAGGAAGCTGCACGCTGTCTCTCTGTGCGGCTGTTTATCAAGAAATACCACAGGTTGTAAGTAGTGAGAAGCTACGTTAAGCAAAGCACGTCCTGACTCAAGCTCCATACTTTACACACAGACATTAATCACCTTTCTCATCAAACTCTCTAAACAGTAGAAAAGTTCATATCCCATAATTCCTTTAAAGACAGGCATGGGTCAAACCTCCATTTTTACCCAAAGTTAGCATTTAAGCATTTTTTTTGTGCTATATGGAATTAACATGGTTGGACTGTGACAATGCAAACGGTTTGTTTTTCCACTGTATCCTGTAGTATGCCAACTAAAACGTCTTATATCTGCATTTAAAATCCCGTTCAGGAACCACTGCCAATCTGATGACTTGGCCTCGAAGTACAGTGGGATAGCAGGTTGTGACCTACCTGCTGCACGTGTGCCATGTGGTTGTGGTTGTAGCCGTGCTGCACCTGCTGCGGGTGGATATAGACAGTCTGCTGGGCAGAGGGGAACGATGCCTGGGGAGACTGAGGGTTGGGCCCCGGGGTCATGGAGGGGGGCGTGGGGGCCAAGGCTGAGAACATCTGCTGCTGCGGTGCCTGGTTGGCCATGTGGAGGGCCTGGGCTGCTGCTGCTGCTACAGCACAGAAAAACAAAGAAATATAAACACTATTATACACAATATTTATGTGTACAGGGATCGAAACAAGACTTGGGCAGGAAAATCTCAGCTTCCAACCTTAACGTACTCACCTGCTGCTGCCTGCTGGTGCTGTGGGTGCTGGACCGGGCTGGCAGCTGGGTGGCTAGGAGGACCTCCATGTTGTGGGGGACCACCCTGCTGGGCTTGGCCTGTAGGCGTGGCAGAGGGCTGGGGGTGCTGTGGGTGAGGGTGCAAGGTGGCATTTGGATGGGGGTACTGCTGAGGCATTGGCCCTGGAGACACTTAGAGACAGGGATCAGTGTTAGCAAGGATGAAAAGTATTAAAACTGTACACATTACTTATGCCTGCACATATTGTTGGTTGCATACTCGTATGAACATACACATGTGGTAGGCTGTCGTACCATACATGGTGTGTGTCTGCTCTGGGTACTGTGTAGTTGAGGAAGAGACGAGGCTGGGTTGGCCGTGTGTGGGAGGCGCCATCATCCTGGCGTTGCCCTGCATTACCGGACTGAACACATGCTGTGCCTGGAAGACACGCAAGGACGGACAGACACGGACAACATCAGGGACTTGTGTGTGAACGTTTCCTTCTTGGCAAGGGGTGGGCATCTAACCACAATACTTCCTTTGTTACAAACTTTTATTACTTTTCAAAGTATCATGTCTAAAAAAGGTACCAAACCTCAGGTATTGTATTGTCAATAACAATTTCTAACAATAACCAGCGCTATTTGACATAAAAGAATAATTTTAATTTTAATTACTGCCCTGACAGGCTTGCCGTGAAAATTAGTAACTAATAATTAAGTTCTTTTCAGTTTAGTTTAATCAATATGAGGTAATTTTGTAAGCCCTAAACACCCTGAAGCCAGTCTCCTAACTGCCTCTGTGTTCCTGCGCTTGTTGTATCACAGCCTGTTTGCAAACAGGTAACAACACTTCAGGTGTGAGAGGCAGGAGCCTGCAGACAGCTCCACATATCAGAAAACACTGGCATCATGCTGGCACTCTGTCAAGCTGCTGGACCGCAGGCGTCGGTCAGACAAATGGCTGACAAGTGAACAGCTGGGAGAGATGAAGACTGCCAGCACTAGCAGATAGTACCAGAGTAACTGTAATAGTTACATTTATTTCTTAACAGAGGCCCTACTGGGCCGAGCATTGCTGAAGATGCTGGTGGTGACAGTAAATCTTACCTGTGATTGATAATGTGTCATCTGCTGGACCAGCGGCTGACTGGTGAACTGCTGCGGGCTGCAGGTGAAGTACTGGGCAGAGTAGGCAGGGCTCTGTGCTACAATAGGCGGTCCTGCTGCCGTCGCTGGGTGCATCATGGTGGGCGTGCCCTGTGGGTGATGCTGGTCTGACCTCTGCTGGGGCATGTTGGATACTGGAAATTAGATGGGGAGTAAGTTTTGTTTAATATCCCTTAAAGCTGAACTATACAGAATTGTGGATTAATGAGAAAAAGTACTGCTGGTTTTAAAAGAGGCAAATTATTCACAGAATTGGCCCGAATATAAGACAACTGACCTTTTTTTTTTTTTTTTTTTTTTAAACCCATCTTTGGAAAAAAATATTGATGAATGAGAAAGACTTGATCAGATGGGAAAGTTTCCGTAAGGTACTAGTAGTCCAAAAAATCCCAAGTCATTTAAATATTTATCTTCTGCCTCTGTGACGCACACGCGCACACGCACACGCGCACACGCGCACACGCACACGCGCACGCGCACACACACACACACACACACACACACACACACACACACACACACACACACACACACACACACCTGAAATTTTGTACCCATGCTGCAGATCAAGTTCTTTCTGGGATAATAAAGTTAACCAATTGATCAGCCGATCAATCCATCACATTTCCTGGCAGTTATCAGTGTTCTTTGGTCGTGAATACATAGAGTACCTCGAAAATAGTACGACTCCAAACACAATATCCAGAAACAAAAGTCTTACATTCAGAGCCAATGCAGTTACTTTCCCAACCACATTTATTTAGTCAGCTTCAGAGAGCGCGACACACAGAGAGAGAGAGAGATATGACAAGGCAGTTGTTATTCTCACCTTTACCTGGTCTGTAGGGTTTAGACTGGCTGACCGTCATATGAGGCATCTGAACCTGATACATAGCTGGAGACTGTAGTGAAGAGGGGAATGAGGATGGCAAATGAAGAAAACAAGTTTATATTCAATCGTCTGTGGGCACATCATTTCAACAAGAATGGAAAACCAGCCTGCAACTAAAAACAGGTGAACTTTTGCTTACTTGTGTTGGGCTGGACATCAATTATTCAGCTTTTAAATGTTGCTTTAGTAGCTAATCCCTTACCCAACAAATACAAAAAACATACTTAAAAAAACACATACAGTATGTACATGTGAGATTGTGGGAATTATTTCTTACCTGGGACCACATGCATTTTCTATGACTGTCTATTATTGGGCAGAAAAGGGTGTTTTTACAACTGTGTCTATAACCCAAATACTGCTTGTCATCTTCCATTCCTTAAGTCCGTAACATTATAAACCATGCAATTCTATTACAAACAGTAATGCAGCAAAAAGCCATTTGTATGGGTAAACAGATGAAGCCAATAGAAATAAGGTGACGTTACAAGTCCATCTGTGATGACAGTTCAAAACGAATTGCAATAAGAAGTTGGCAAACCAACATCTGATGGCATTAATTCAACAAGCAAGCAAGACATTTCAGTACTGATTGGGCTTAAAAAACAAAAGGATTTAAAAAATTCACAAACCTTCCATATTATGCTTTTCTAATGGAGCGAGAGAGAGGAGGAGGAGGGGGAGAAAAGGAAAAGAGAACCACTCTTTAGTTGTTCACCAAGGTATGTTATCGTTTACACGTGTCTGATGTTGGATCACCAAGTTTTTCTTAAAGCAACACAGGACAAAAATAGATTTACAACTACAAATTTCATTCATCAAAAATATGCTCTCAAAGCACAGTTAAGAAGTGCTTTGAGAGTAAATATTTTGACATCATATTGTATAAATCTTTCATACCTGCTTTCTTTAAACATTTCTAAGCTTGTTTATCCCAGATATTTACCTAAACATTTTTCAAATAATTCTGCAAAAAAATAAAAAAAATAAAAAAATAAAAGTGTCTGGAACATGAGAGAGGAAGGAAAAGTGATGACAAAAGGATGCACATGTTCTGTATATCAAGGTGTCCAAGGAAACTACAAAAGAAATGTGAGATGTAGCCTTTTAAAAATAAAAAGAAAGATTAGAGATGAATCCAAGACAGAAAAGGAAAGAAAAATAACAAATGAGGGCAAAATGGTTGTTAGGGATTTGTCTAAATGAACTTTGCATTTCATACTGATTCAACATGATGCTTGGATTGATCTGCACTGAACAGAAACTAGAGCCCGACCGATACGGGATTTTTAAGACTGATGATAACAATTTTGATATTTCCAAAATATCAGCCAATATTCTTTTTCTCTTCTTCTTTTCAGAAACACAAAACAAAGATTATCCCCTAACATTTGTTACGTGTAGTTATGAGACCTCACCAAGAGAACACAAACTCTTCTTGTTGTTATAAATAGTAGTTTGAACAAAAGAGTGCCCTCTGGTGGACAAACTATGCAACTACAACACTCATGACATCTCTTTTTTTAAGTGTCATTTATTGGCTCTTATAAACACTGATACCAATTTATCTGCAATTAGCTCATATGGGCCAATTTATCGGTCAGGCTCTAATAGAAACAAATAATCTGTCTTCATAGCGCACATTTCGGCATACAGGAGTGTGTCTCACCTGCACTCCAGGGCTGACTGGTGTAAGGGGATACATCTGGGGGAAGCAGACTGTCTGGCCATACACAGTCGGGGGCTGCTGGACTACGATGGAGGGGCTGGGTTGGCCCTGAGGCCGGGGAGGCGTCGGGGTGTTGGCTGGTTTGGGCTGATGGAGCATATAAAGAGAGATCGAAACAGCAAGAGGCCAAATAAATGAGTTCACTTTCAGTTTGTGGCATTTAAACTGTGTAGTCTGGCAGCAGCAGGGCCTACTGACCTGCGTATTGAACCTGGGTTTGAACTCATTGGCATTTGGGTTCAGGGTTGATTTTCTCACTTGACTACAGGAGGAGAAAAAAAGTGAAGTTAAAATTTAAAAGGATCACTCTTATTATCATGTTGGTTTTGGTCATTTGGTAGGATTTGTTGATAAGAAAACTACAGAATATCTCCAGGCTTGTTATTTAAAATTATGTACAGTCTCCCCTCTCAACCATACCATCCCTTCCACTCACTCTTGCACTGCCTCCTTTTTCTCCTCCTTTTCTTCATGCTTGGGACCACTAAATGTGGACGTCGTCTGAACTCCCTGTGATGTCACATCCAGCCCCGCCCTCTTCTGGTCCGGAGCGGAAGGAGACGGGGACAGTGCAGCGGGGCTGCCAGGCTTACTGGTGTTTGCAGTGGTGGTGGATGGAGCAGGAGCACCGCCAGGGGTGCCAGCAGCAATACCTACAACGCCCTCTTCGTTGCCCTCCCGCCCCACTGTGGAGGCTTTGTCCAAGGGAAGGTCTTTAGGCTTGTCTGCTGGATCTCTGGGAGGCTTGGTCATCATCTGGTCAAAGGCAGGCTCTGAGTTTGAACTAGACTGCAACTGGAAGTGGGAGGATGAAAAAAGAAAGTTAGAGCTCTAGTACAGCCTCATAAACAGGAGGTTAGTTATGTCACATTTTCAGCATTTCTATACCGTACAAATGAATGAAATACTTACCCTAAAATCTACACTAAATTTCTTTAAATTATCTATTTGTTTTCTGTGGTCTGGTGCCATAGAAGGGGGTCCTGTAAGGTGAGTAGAGAGTAGAGTAATGAGTCATTACCAATGGATCTGGAAATACTGAGCCAATATTTAAGCCAGCACAACAACTTAAATTATATTACAATGACAGGTACATAAATTAAAACGGGTGTCTCAGCAAATAGTCTCTTCTTTAAAAAAATTTGTGATAAAGCAGTCCGAAGTGTATATATACTGTACCTTTACAGACTGGTCTGGTGATACTAGGTGAGCTGTCCATGGGTTTGATGTTCTCCTTGTTTGCCGTGGGGGATGTTTGTCTCGTCTCTTGGACACGACACTCTTTTGCTACACAGGACAGAAAAACAAGTCTCTTTACTTCCAGCATAAAAGCAGCTTATACAGTGACAGAAACTACTTTAAAAGCACACAGAAATCAGGTATTTCATATCACACTTAGCATTCCTTGGTCCCTTAATCCATCTCGGTGAGAGTCTGTAGGTTAACTTTAAGCTTACCTTCACCTGATGGAGAGGCGACCATGTTGGGGGCGGGGCTAGCAGCAGTCGGAGAGGAAGCTGATGTTGGTGTAGAAGCAGTTTCCACAGGAGCTGTTCCTGTCTGTGGTGACGGGAGGGAGGAGGGGCCAGGGGAGGCTCCACCCATACTATTCTGTCTGGGGGAACGAGGTCTGTGAGCTGAGGAGAGGAAGAAGAGATCTTAGTGTCATCTTGATTTACTGGCCAACATTAGAGGATAAGTACTCAAAGCAAATGTTTGCAATCATCGTACTTCTTTAATAATACTACAAGGCGGAAAATGCTTTTGTAGTGTCCTTTCACAATAACGCAAGGCCCTTACAAACATGCCACGCAGTGGTGCTACAACATAACTTCATGAAATCTCCTCTGCACATATGTTCCATTGTGTTATATCTTAATGAAGTTGAAATATTTAAATGGTTGGAAATGTATCAAAATAAACACAAAGTAAAGAAATAAAAGGAAGGAAGGAAATAACTGCGCTACCTCCGCTAACCACTGAGGACCATGTCCCTCCAGAGGAGCTGCTCCTGGTTGGTGGAGTCACTGGGACCTCTCCAGGTGCATTATGGGAAATTAAGTCCACTCCTGGAGGGACTCCAGTGGTCCGGCAGGGTGGCACTCTGTGAGCACGAGGCGTCCGCTGTGATTTTGGAGACATCCTGGGTGGACCTGTAGATGAAGAAAGACCGATAAAGACAGACAGAACTCCATAAACAGAAGGTGGAGGTGAGGTAACACACTGAACGGGTTTCTCTTTGAAACTCACACGTGTCTCTCAAAAGCTTTTTTTTTTTTTAAAAACAAACCTTTGCTACATCTATGGTTTAAATATCACAACATACAGTAATGTTATTTAGTGACATGCGTGTTAGTGGAGAAAACTGCAGGTGTGAAACGATCACACAACACACCACACTCAAACCACAACCAAGTGAAGTGAGAGATGAGAAATGGGGAAAACATGGGAAAGAAGGTGAGGTGGAAACCCGTATTTAAAGAATTCACTGTTTAGCAGAGCTTGTGCAGTTACACAAAGAGTGTCCGTCTTACAAGTGACAGCCCAGTGCAAAACTGATCTGAAGTATTTTTTCATTTCACTGAAAAATTATAAACACGTATTTATTTAGACAGCAGCACTTTAGATTTAGCACGAAACAAGGACTAAGAGGTTGAAGGCCTCGCTTACAATTTGAAGCGTTTGAGGGTGCACATTGTAACCCCATTTTGAGACAGCGACAAAGAGCATCACCGTGGAAGATGGTGGTGAGTCTAGCAACAGACTTAAACACATTAAAGCAGAAGAGGTCAATTATAGACTTGACTGCTGTATCATAAAACATTTTGAGGGGCGCTGGTTAGCTCACTTGGTAGACCAGGCGCCCATGTACAAGGCTCAGTCCTTAACACAGCGGCTCCGGGTTCAAATCCAGTGCACAGCCCTTTGCTGCATGTCATCACCTCTCTCTCTCTCCCTCTTTTCCTGTTTCTCTATCCTATCTAAATGAAGGCCAAAAAGTCTCTTTAAAAAACGAAAGAAAACATTTTGAGAAACTGCTGCCTTGGTGTTTTCGGTGGCTGAACTCTTGCTAAACAGAGAGCACAGCACACAGTGTGGTGCACCCACATGCCAAGGTGAAACTGCCTGACGCACTGACAGAAGGATCAGCTTCGAGGCTTACCAAATCCTTACAATTTCCATTTGTATGGAAATTGCAAATATGACCTGAATCAGTCTGAAGAAGCAACTTCACCTATTAGTGTTGTTTCACACTAGACCTGGACAAATTCACATTTGAAAGTAGCTTCCTTATTTAACTTAAACATTTAACATAATTTTCTATGATTCGGAATATAATTTCCATATTTAGCGCAATCCTTCCACCTTCAACTCATGCCTTTGCCCAGGTCTACTCCACACTGATGTGGGTACCTTCTGAAGACATGCGTTTGGGCAGAGTGGAGGCTGGCGATGTGGGCCCATGGTGGGAAAAGGAGGTTGAGGAGGAGGAGGGATAGGAGGGGTGGGATGAATGAGAGGGAGGCCTGGAAGGTCGAGAGGGGGGTCTGGAGGGTGGCCTGGTGGGCGTGGCCGCCCGAGGAGGCAGGGAGGAGGGGCCAGACTGGTAACGGGAGGGGGGGCGGGAGGTAGGAGATGGACAGGGTGAGGGCCAGTGGGATGAACCTAAAAGAGGGAAGGACAAATGATCAAGGATGACAACCAGCAGATGACAACCAGTTAAAAGGGGGGAAAACAAAGTCATAGCAGGAACAGAAAGAAGGGGGAGATTAATAAACATGAGAAAGAATGTCAAGGCAGGAATAAAACGATTTAACTGATGCAAGTAAAGTACAATAAATGCATTCAATGAGCAACAACAGCTACTATGAACGTCCCAGACTCTAAACCAAAGTCACCACCAGTTTTACATCAGTTAAATAGATTAAGGGGGGCGGGGTCAGGCAGTCACAGTTGGATCACTATACTGACCAACTCACTCACCATCCAATGCACCACTGTACAGCACTGTATTCCAGAAGAACTTTCTATATAGGATGTTGCAAGTAACACCATATGCGTGTTGGTGATGTATTATACGTACCTCCATTAACCACCCTCTGATCGGCCCCTGAGCTGGGACTGTAGTCGTGAGGTCCTGGTCGAGGAGTGGGGGGTCCAGCTGAGCTCTGAGCAAGACGAGGGGAATTCTGACGTCCCGGTCCCCATGACATCGCCTCCCTGTTCCTCTGACCTGGAGGAATGTACTTGTTCTCTCTGCACGCACGCACGCACACACGCACACACAGTACGGTCATAGACAAGAGTCAAGATAACCAAGAGGAGGAATTCACTCTACACTATTACATTCAACTAAGTAACTCTCTGCCAAAATGAGCATGTTTTCTTTAATTACCAAAGTAGTATTTGTTCTGGGAACAGCTGCTGTCCATTTAGTGAATTCGCTGCGACTGTATTGTCCCCCTTCGAGGCTTCAATATGCTTCTCAAGCCTGTGCGTTTCTACTGCAGACCCACGCCGTCAGCAAGCATTTTGTACATATTGTATACGTACTTGTGCTCTCATGCTTGCACTTCAATGGTGGGACCTCAAAGTCCTTCAACAATAATTCTGACATGTGGTGCATGACATTCTGGTATAAATATGAGATATAACATGCTAGTACATAGATCCCTTTCTTGCCTCAAAATATCCCAGTAAAATATCACGCACTGGAAATAAAGTATGCAGAGTACTCTTTCCAGTTCTTCCTTAATAAACATAGTACCTGAGGGAGACATCAGCACTCTGATGATAAATCGTCTCGCATGATATTTATAGTCAGTTTTATGGTGTAGATATTTTATGGGAAAAAAGGTGAAAGGAATGCTTTATTTAATCTTTTATAACAATAAAACATAAATGGGGTACATTCCATCACACTTACAGGTGATGAAATTTTAAAACATTAACAATAAAGCTGCTGACTCGATTAATTGCTAGGCCAGCTCCATTACTTTACAGTATGTACATATAATTTTGATTCTTACAAGTATAAACTCAATCCCACAACGGGAGTATAAATGCACATCAAGGGCCGCCCAAGTAAAGTCTGTATGTGGGGAAACACTATGTTCACTATCAGCATTTGCCGAGCAAATTTAATTTGTTCTCATCGTTGTTAAGCGGCTCTTGATGTGCGCAACATTTACACTCCCATTGTGGGATTGAGTTTATACTTGTAAGAATCAAAATTAAAGGTGCATACTGTAAAGAAAAGGAGCTGGCCTAGCTAGAGTGTGGGGAAAAGAGAACCCAAAGGAAAAGGAGCACATCAATGATTACACAATTGCAAAGTCTGCACTAACACACACTCACAGGCAGAAGTAGTATGTATTGGCCCTAAGCCTGTACGTGTGTCCTGGTCTTACCTGCTAAGTGTGTGAGTCTCCCTTTCCCCTCGCACCACAGCAGTATATTTCTCCTCCTCAGAGCGTTCATCATTCTCCAAGGCGACACGGGCCTTGTATGTGGCACTGGCCTCAATCTCCTCTGCCAGCAGGGCAGCACGCGCTTCCCTCTTGAGGAACTCTTCTGAGTTGTCCCGCTCCAGGGGGACCCTGGGAAACAAGCTTGGGTCAGACAAGGGCAGCAGGGTGATGGAGTGACTAGGGATACAGGTTAAAGGGGACCTATTTTGCTTTTTGATATTTTCTAGCATTTCTATAATGTTACAATGTCAGATGTTCATATTAAACATGACCAAAGTTTCAAATGATGAGGTAAAAGTATTACAAAGAAATCCCTGTGAGCCAAAACCTCAGATATCCCCCTGTTCCGAATGCTATGTTTTGAACAGTTTTTTCTACTAACGGCTCGATATGATGTCATTCCGAGCAGGATTTCCAAATATGGTAATTTGCTCCAGGCAGAGAATGCTGGTCACGCCCCCAAAAGAACATGCAGACCTATACCTGCAGCAACCTGGTAAACACATTAGATAGACAGTGGCCAATCAGAAGACAGTGGGCTCTGGAGTGGGGGGGTCTTAAAGAAACAGAAGCATAAACAGCTTGTTTCACTCAGATGCTGAAATGAGGGCCTGCATGAAGAGCCAGTATAAGACAGAAAATACTTTTTTGAACTTTGAATCATGCAAAGCCACCATACAGGAGTTACAGAAGTACAATATAGGGCTAGAAATGCAGTATAATAGGTCCCCTTAATGACCACATCCATTATTTCAAATAAATTGTAGATTACTTGTGTGCAAGAAACTGAACATATTCTAACAGAATAAATATATTGAACAAAACAACGCATAGAGAGACACACATGAGCGTAGAGAAGCTTACGTATATGTGGACAAGCTGCTGTCATATGTAGACAAGACTCCATACTTCTCCTCATTGTATTTGAACATGTCATTGGGGTCCCACCCGTTTGACTGAGATGAAGAGAGAGAGAGAATTTCACAAAAGGCCTGTAAACAAATTATCAACGATGTGGATCAGATGGCACAACCAATGTTTACTTCTTTCACTGTCAAATTTACAAGTAGGGCTGTCGCGATAACAGCGATATTGAAATACTATTGGTCAAGCCTACCGCGGAGGATGGCAAGCACCGCAACAACTGCAATGTTCATACTTTACACTTCAGCGCGTGTTAAATTAATAAAGTAGTGCTTCAAAAGTTCCTCCACTGAAATGAGCTTTTTAACGATTCAAGGACGGACCGCCATGGGCTGGACGTGACCCAACTTCAAACTTGGAAGTTGTAAATGTTGCCGTGTTTTGTATTTTACTGTTTATTTTAAAGGTTAGCTAACTTGGTATTAGCACACTGCGCCGCTAATGTGGCTAGCAGGCTCGGAAATGTTGTACTAATGTTGTAATCCTGAAGGACAGTCGAGAGAAACTGAACGATAAGCCTCATTTGAAGCTCACAAACTAACGAGTATAATGCCAGCAGCTATTTCTCATGTTGCTTTCTGTGGAAATTTAGTTATACCGTTACAAACAGTGGTTAGTTGTGGAAATGCGTGCGTGCGTGACATGCCCTGAAGGCAACGATATAGCCACGTATGAAAAAGACACGGTCAAACTACAAAAATGAGTTTGCTTGGCAATGTTGTCGACCAATTCCCAGCAGCTACCTTGCATCAACCATAAAGCTGCTGTTAGCGGCTCGCTGTGCAGTGAGGTGAGATCCACTGACAAACTTACTCTGCTATATGGCACCAAATTACTTCATTGATGAAAAATGCGATAATACTGCATACCGCTGTTCAGCGCCAACAAATTACTTCACCGCGACAGCCCTATTTACAAGTCATCATATGAAGGCCTGTATGGATTCCACTACATGTACTCAGTGCAGCATCGATGTGTTTATTTTCTTACCACATCTGTATCCAGAGACTCAAGGCTGTCAGAGTTGTGGGTCTCTCCTCCATCCCAGGGCTCTAGATCTTTCTCTTTATGCTCGCCATTGATCCTACTGCTCACTGCTGCATCTGTGAAGTTGTCTGCGGCACACACAAATAATACATACGCATGTACAGCAGACACACACAAGGTATAAAATCACATGGCTACACTGTGCTCATGCCTCAAGAGCTTCTGCCACACTCTCTCACAGCAAACGTCTACATGGAGGTAAGGGTGGTTCACCAGGCACACCCACTCACAACCAAACATGGGTTCAACTGGATTGGGAAAAAATCCTTTCAAAAAAATTGAGATATTGCTTGAGCTGGCCTTGGTATAGCTGAAGGATAAAGGGTTCTGGCACTGTGAGCAAGAATATGACAACAACCTTCTAAAGAAAGGCAAAAAGGCTAGTCCCCAATCACTATCTTAGCCTGCAATAAAATGTACTAATTAAATCAAGATGTAAGGTGCTACAGAATTTTTTTTATTACCCATCACCATGGCAACCTCTTGAAAAACGTGATTTACGTGTATAGAAGACTACTTGGGGCTGATGATGATCCACACTTTCAGGACGTTTTACTGTATTTAAGTAAATTTACAGAATACTTTGGTTGGCTCAACTACAATCCAGGGCCGGGCACGCTCAAACTCACAATTACATTTGAAAGGAAATCTAATCTAATCTCAGCGAAAGTCTGCTCACACATTCTCAGACCTGGCACCAATGGACTATGTGCATGAAGGATACGAGCCACCTGGAGTTACATAACTCAGTCATCCCAACTAGGGCTGGGCGATATGGACCAAAAAGGCGATATGGTATAAAAACCGACATGGTAGCTAGCGAATGACATCTGCACTGGTGTGTTCACTGTCACTTTATCTGGTCCGCTCTTGTAAAATATCCACTGTGTCGCTACTTGTAACATAATCACTCTGTCTTTCTCTGATAAATGTGTCACCTAACCTGGGCGGCCCGCTGAAGTAAAGTGAATGTGTGGGAAACAATGACTGAACTGTTGTTTTTTTTCATTTTCAAGCCTTCAGCACTGTGTCTCCCTCCATGTTGTTGAGAGTTTGTGAGTAGACGGCTGCATGCAGATGCAGAGGGAGGGGCGGGCCTGTGCGGTGAGGGAGAGAGAAACGAGCAAACGCTGGCAGAACTTTAAGGAAACATATTAATTAACTCAACATCAGACTATATCGGTATAAACAGTATTGTCTAACTTCATATCTCTTTTGAAATTGTATTGGTATACCTCATTATACCGATATACCGCCCAGCCCTAATCCCAACTCATCCCACAATAAAAAGTGCATTAAGCATGCTGGCACAGAGCAAGTTCAGAAAGAAATTTGATTGGCACCACACACACATTTGGGCTAACAGGCCTGAATTATATTAGTAGATGTGGCTGGGATGCTCTATGCACACTGTCCATTGAGGGAATTGTACAATGTGGGCATAATGAGGAGTAAGCAAACATGCATTTAGATTGCAGTAAATTACATGTTCTCAAAGCACTTTAAGATACTGACATTTTAACACAAGGCTCAGAACGCAGGTTAAGGTGCATGTGTTCGACATGAGATTTCAATCTGTTGCTTTCATAACGCCCCCTTTTCCATCTAGTTCTGATTTGAACTGAGCTCTGGTCCAGTAAGGTTTGAAATCCAGCGCCGCAGCAGAAACTCATGTTAGAAAAATAAAACAATGCTCTGAAAGATACCATATCCTTGCAATTCTAAGAATAAGTCATAGCTGCAAGGGTGTCTTTACAAGCTGGCTACATATAGGCTATTATGCTGAACCATAACAACATCTGGGAAAACTATATAACTAAGTTGTAAATATACAAAAAGTATTAGTGTTAGTATAAAACAAGTGTTAGCTTACTACATTAAACTTTTTACACTCGCATATCTCACACATCCTCAGATTCCTCATAAGTATGTATAAGGCCATAAGTATCTATGTGCCATGGCAGGATTCAATTTTGAGCCTCTACTGAAATCCTAAGTAAAAGCTTAATTAAACAGCATATAATAGGGCAAGTGGCAACTACTCCACCGAAAGCAACATCCAGTCTAAAGACAACTAAGGATCAGGTGGACCAAGACTGACCTGCATCAGATTTGTATTTTTATGTTATATGAAAGCAGTGATCCCCCAAATTCATTCACCAATTTGGATTTTAAATGCAGCAATAGACGGCAACAGATCAGGCCCAAGCCTCAGAGATTCACAAATTTGTTTGGGTGCATACAGAGATGTGCGGGAGGAGAAAACAACCATATATTACCTGTGTCAGAGGAGACTAGACCATTGGAGAGGAGAGACAGACAGATGACAGAGAGTCAGAAAATGGACAGACAGACAGAATGACTGGCGATAACACCAGCAGTTGACTTCCTGTCCAACAATTTTAGGATGTGGATCATCTATGTGCAAGTTTTAAAGAGAAATTCTATTTCCTGTTTTTTTTCCATAGTTTTAAGTCAAGCCTAGGAGACTCCTCACGTCCCCCTTATTTAGCTATTAAGTTAGTGAAAAACAAACTTACCTTTCTAAGTATCTTGTTGACTTAATAACATAAAATCACTACTATTAGCAATGGTGCTTAAGATGTAACTACTTTTCTACAAAACAATAAAATTTCCAGTCAGTCCACAATTGTTCAATTTAACAAGATAACACCACCAGCTGTGCAGTAGCATCTCCTTGAATCATGTAGCGAAAGCCTTAAACTTTTCAGAATATAATAACCCCCTTCCACAAAGTCCAATATTGTTCAAAGCAGAATTGTAGGGGTCACGGTGAATTAGATGAAGAAGACTCATTCAGCCTTTATTGAGTGTCCTTGCTGCGCTGGGGCAACCTTCGGCCCAATCGATACATCACATTAGTCTTCAATGACTGGCCACTCAAAGCCGACACCCAAGATTTAAGTCATGCCAAAGCCTCTGTGACATCAAGGTAGTATATACAGACTGAAAAAGATCAATATGTTGTGTGTTTGCACCGATGGGAATTCACTGTGGCATGTGTTTATTTTTGTGCGAGTGTGCAATGAATACAAAGTGACAAACTAACCTAATTACATTGTGTATGCTTCATGCGTTTTAGTGTGTACAAGACTAGGTATATAAAGGCCGTTGATGTAACTAGATTGGTCAACACAAAAGCCCTCTGTACCTTTTCTGGCAAAATTTAGGTCCACATCTTTGAAGGTCACCACTACGACATCAGAGGCCTTGAAAATGATGCTCTCCACAATATCCTCTTTCCTGGGGGCTATGCTCGGCTCTGGGCTCTTTCTGTGGGCTGCATCCAACACCAGGTCACACTGATGGAGAAAGATATGTTAAATTAGATTGAAGGGGGATGTGAAATATATCAAATGCCTAAACTATCTACAGAAGAGACCAGGAACCATGGGATATGGAGGCCCGAGACCATACATTGTTTCATCACAAATCATTCACCGCACTAGCTTGACAGACAGAAAATGAATTGGCAAGAGTGTTAATAATCAATCAATCTTTTAAGAAAATGTATTATGGAATCTCTGAAAAAGAATCTAATATATTTCCATTTCTGTTGGCCAGACAAAACAAGCGCTTGGAAGGGGTCACCTTGGGCTTTGGAAAATTGTGGCAGACTTGTTTCACTATTTTCTGACATTTTATACAATAACCATGAATCAATTAATCGAAAACAAGGGACGATGAGAATAATACTGATGAGACAACCAGCAAAAAGAGGACCTAACCAATTAAATCACTTGGCGTGTTTGATTAGAATGAAAAACTTCCATCTTGGCCCAGCAAGGCACATCAACACGCTTGCCTAAAGCTGAACTACAGGAAATCCCCTCTAGGTTCTTTGGCTGACAGAATATTTAAACAAAAATTTATTTGATTGACATCAATTGATTGTGTTCTGCTCATTTAAAGGCATCCACGCCAGACGAAGGAGCTTGTAAGTTGCAGTGGGAGCAGACATGACCTTCAATTTCCTCAAAACAAGAAGTTGTACTACAGCTAATACTATAGCAGAAAACTGAAAACACAAGCCCTACCAACCAAACAATACATCGTTGACTAAGAGACCGTGTAACCAGGTGGTAAAATACAGCTATGTGAATATTTCAGCACATTTGACGGTTCTGCTTGCACACACTGTGGCAATAAAACCCAAATGTGATGCTTTGCTTTGGTCTCAAAACAAAGTGGTGTGTTTGCCTGTGAAAGCACCCCAAATTCTGTTTTTTTTGGAGTACCCTGCCAGCTTTATTCGCATTAGTCACACAACCTTATAAAAGAGGTGGGAGACAAGATACATAAATATAAGCCCTGTTGTTTGGAGTTAAAACAGGGGGATAATGTATGTTACAACATCCTATCAATAACTGAAGTTGATGCCAAGCTGAATTGGACAGAAACTTGTACCATTGCTTAGGTAAAGCTTTTCATTTTATTTTCCCCACAGGACATGTTTGGGAAATACTTCAACCTAAAAGGGAAGATGAAGGGCCACATACCTCTCTTCCATAAAAGGAAAGATGGAAAGGGCAATCTTTGTCTAAGCCACCTCAGGGGTGAAGTTGCTATTGAATGCTGGCTGGGCACTATCTTTCCAGCACAGTTAACCTTAATCATTAGTACTGCTACTGAGGAAATAACAGATCAAGCACCTATAAAGAACACTGCAGTGTGTGTGTCGCTTACCTCTGGACCGTATGTCTTAAATACTCCTTCATAGACTGCTCCGTTTTTCACTTTCAGCTCACACTTGGCCCCCTAAAAACGAATAGGCCTCTCATTATTCACTGTATGCAGTGTCGATGTCAATTTACATATTCAAAAAACAAGTTCAGAAACCCATCTGCTGTGAAACAGATAAATGATTGATCAATCGCTGCTTTGTTAATGCAACTAGCAGTCTCTACAAATCACGCAGGCTTTGTTTATAGCAGCATAGACATTTTGAAGAAACAGCATGTGGTGAAAGACAGACTGCTGTTACAAATTCGTTTACAGTAAGCATGATTCACATGGTTGATTCAGAGTTTTTTCCCTGCAACTGTGCTCATTTCTCCAGTCATTGTAGCTATTAGACAGAAAACAAAATCCAGACAAACATACTGAACATATGTGAAGCATCATCTCAAATCTTTAACAAGACAGATACACAGTAAACATACCACCACTGAAGTCAAGACATGGACCATCCTCATATTTGCATATACACCATTGAAAATGACCTAAAGAAAAAACACAGTTAACTTCTGATGTTCCCCATCTACATAGGAAACCTATGCTAAATACGCTCCTCGCAGCCATGTGACACCTCGCAGCCATGTGACACCTATTGGACATTTGTTCCATTCATAATGCATAATAAGACACAGATATCCAAAGACTGGATTTATGCTTGCTCTGAGGTCCATTCTTTGCAACTTTTAAACCAAATTGCATGCCTTACAAAAACATGACACTGTATTCCATCGACTCTATAATGAACAAAAAGAAGCATTAATCCAGTGTGTGTGTTTTAAGCAGTTTGCCCTCTTTGATCAAATAAAACATTCAGGTATACCAAACTTCTGACAGTACATGCCTATGTGGCATAAAAGCTATTTTCTACTGAATTATGTGAGTTAACCAGTTACTTACTGCTGCGGGACCTTTACCACTGTGTCTTCCCCTGAAAGGAAAAAAAAAGCCATTGTTGTCAAACTTATCAAAAATCATTGGCACTGAAGTTCTTACTACTGAAAGTACTCTCTGAGGAGGTGATGCTGTGTATCTCTACAATAGTATATAACCGCTGTTGCAGATGTTAAAGGGGAAGCCCAAGAATCATCAGCAATATACATTATCCAATTAAATCTATGCAAATGTTGATGTATTAAATATTTGAATGCAATGTAGATTCTGAAATTCCCCACAGATTCCACGATATTTTGCTGGTTAGAATAATGTTCAAGTGGCTGCCAGCCAAAGGCTTGGTAGCCTACATTTTTCCCCCCAAGCATGTCCTAAAACGCACCTTGTTCAGTAGCTGGCACATGGCCAGGCATTCACACTTGATTCAATGTAGGCAGTGGTCACTTTCCCAACATTATTTTCGTTGTTATAAATGAGTAATAAGCTCAGTTGAACACAGTCAGTTACTCAATGTTGAAACGAAACCCAAGTAATTTCGAGCTCAAATAAGCTCCATTTGTATGCATTAGTCCAACTGGTCCTATCCTATTTTTCCAATATCTTCGCACGGCATTAATGGATGAAACCTACGCAATGAATGGGGCGTACTGTCCTAGTGACCGGTGAATAGAAGCCTGACCACATTAACACCATCAAAATTCACGATACGCGTGCAGCTCCTGCACTGACAGTGTGTGTTAGCTTTATTTTTGGACGACATGTACAGAAATGTCATGCTTCAAGGACATAATTTCAAACGAGAAGCAACGTCAAGGTTGAAAAGCCCATCGGTCTGTAATTCCCCCCTTCTCCTCCTCTTCACCCCGTCTATACACCCGCCCCTTTCTTTCGTGCGCCCACACGCTTGATATCAATTTCTTGGCAAACCCTTTGCAGCAATATTGCGGTAACGTACCAAGCTAACGTGACAGTCAAACGAAAACAAACACAGCTGCTTTATCGCCAGGCTGTCCCGTTACCTAGCCGTTGTAACACTGAGTGAGCCAAGTGCCCTGAATAGCAAGCATGGGCTGTCAAATGGCTAATTAACGCGAGCTAAATTGACTCCGAGCTGATAGTAAACCGATATCAGAAACTTGGCAAGCAGCTTCACCGGTACGCACATGTGTGGGAAATATGTTTGTCCACCCAAACATGTCTAAATACATAAGCCAGATACCAGCTGATGTTTTATCTAACGTACAAGAGGAGGATCCGTTACGTCGAAGTTGCAACATTTTTAGAGCCAGCAGACAGGCCTCGCTAGCTAAACCGCATAACGTTGCGCTAGGTGACCAACACGTCGCAAGGCCCACATTCACAAACACGTAGTAGTTTTCAACCACTTAACGGGAATGTCATCTCTCAAAAACGACACTGTTGGAAGTGACTGTGTCCACGTACTGTTCACTGGTCAAATTAAGCCCCGCTGCTGTGTTTTTATTACGCAAAGTTAACGTTTTGAATTTCACAGACCTGCCCAGATTCTGTCTTCCCCCGCCGCTTCCTCCGGCACCGGAGGCGGCGGTACCAGCGGTGTTGCCACCGCCGGGCTTGCTGCGATTTCCACCGGCCTTCATTGACATTGTGATCCCATAAAAGACGGCGTCTTAAAACGACCAGCTTCACACCACAATTTCTTACTGACGACGAGAAGGTGTATGTTTGTGTGACAGATCGCTACTGTTAACTGTTAGCAATCCTAAGATCTGGCTAGCTAGCAGCCTAATGTCAACGTGCCTCTTGAAGCATATAAGATGCAATGCTAAGAAGCTAGGTGGCTATCAGTTGCTAGCTAAATTAGCGATCTGTACAATTCCTTTTAAAACGAAAAAAAATAACAATATTTAAAAAAGACAACACGCGCAAATCACTCTTCCAAAATAAACATGGGAGTTACACCTCTTGTCAATTTGTTATATAATCCTAACAAAAAAATTCGATTGTCTCAAAATAGGGTTTACAGCTATCTCAGGTTCTTTGCGTTGCTAACAGCGAAAAGACCAAAACAGTCTGAAAGGGGACAAAAAACCGCGGAGGGATATATGAAAGGCGTAACGGCTTACAACATGTAACCAAAAATTCCTGCTGTATGTTATTTCATCACCATCAATCCACTAAAACACAAATGTGTTGCCATATGTCATATTTAATCTGGAGAACCATACGAAACATTTAGATACTCCTGTTTTTAAATTACACATATAATATGGCACTATTTTCAGGAAGTCCATGAATCTTCTATGGCTGTTCAGTGACATCCACGTGAGCCGGCCTGTCAACACACTACACACATAGAAACACACTATTTACACACTTCTTGTGTGTGCATGTTGATGGCATCTACATTATACATTACATTACTGCTCATAATTAGCATGATGAAGATTATTTCCATGTTGCAAATATCTGGTCTGAGTTCGACAATCCTGATGAATTAACTGAGATGCTGGGATGTGGTTGCGCAGGTAAATTGCCTTTAACAGCATGTTCATGAACAAATTAAACATTAATAATTTCGTACAAGACAAGTTTGTGCAGCTTGTAGAAAATTAAGGAATTCCTATTTATTGTAGCCTAGATGTCATTTAAACACTTTTGCTAAATACATTTATTACCAAAACATGAACTTGCATGTCAGGTGTCTGATATAATTGATCTTAACATGTTCTTTTGTAATCTCAATCATTTTAAAATGTATTTTTGATTTCTACTTTTTTTTTTCTTTAAAGACAATGTGCACATTCTGTGGACAAAAGGGATTGACAAAATGATAGAAACATTTTTCTATATAAAATAAGACCTTTGGTGTGAGAGACCTGGGTTTCAATCCCCTACTGTGACCCATCCACCATTCTGTCCCTGAGCAAGACACTTAACCCCTTGTTGCTCCAGAGGCGTGCCACCTCTGACATGTATAGCAATTGTAAGTCGCTTTGGGTAAAAGCATCAGCTAAATGAATAAATGTAAATGTAAAGAAGTCCAATACAATGCCTCTGGCTACAACAGCTTTGAATTGACATATAAATAGGCTTTTTAAATAGTTTCCATGTGACCTAGAGTGACTTCAAAATACCAGAAATTATTACTACACTGCAGTGTAGTAATAATTTCTGGTATGTTGAAGGCCAAAAAGAACACCTTTTCATACTAGATTTTCGTGCATCTTCTAACGGCAGTTTCTGCTGAGCCTTAACAACATTAGCTTACACAGCAAATTTAAAATTATATATTACATTCAGTGCAATATCCTCTGCACTATTTTTCCTAAGTGTAATATTCTTTCTGCCCTTTGTCTCAACTGCTTCTAGTATGGTTTGCAATGATTAGGAGTAGCACTCCTAATTTTGTTGTATATTTTACATTTTGTTTCCCTCCCTCTCCGCCTCAAGCTGATGTGCGGTGAGCGTTCTTGGCATAATGCCTGCCAGCCCTGTGCATCTCCCAGGTGGGTGCCACACATTGGTGGTGTAGGTGGAGTTTCTTTGATAAAGCACTGTATAAATGTAATGCATTTTTATTATTATTAATGACAATAAAGGCTTTTTATTCTATTCTATTTTATCTAAATATTTGTACTATTTTTGATAGCTTCCTTGTAATGTGACACAGTGGCTCAAAATCAATACCATAATACCTAACAGTCAACACTATTTCATCAGCAGGCACTTTTGTATTGGAAGAAATAATTTTATAACTTTACCCTATATACAGTCTATGCTTTACACTGTCTGGATCACTGGATGTGTTGTGCACAGGAACAACCCTGTATTTTGACGAAAGGATGGAGAAGAATAGCTGGTCTGTCAGGCACATTTAAAATGACTGAGGCAATGTTCTCTCTTTTTTGAACTTCTTTTGGAAGTGTAATTGTCACTGCACAAACAAATCAATTTACCCCGTTTTTGAAAGCAGTTCCAACTGTACTCCTAATGTTAATGAGGAATATATTTGCAGACACATGCCTTCTTTTGGTTCCACACCTCCCCTCTATTTTAATAAATGCTCTTAATGTAAAAATTAATAAAAAACAATTATTCTCATTAAATCCACCATTAAAACGTTGTTTACATTACTATACTTGACTAACTGTAGCTATATTTGACACCCTGTTTGAAAGCCAAACTGATCAATGTCATTTACCCCTTATATGGATTTCTTCATATTAGTCTTCTTATAAAGCCCAATATCAAATATCACAAATTTGCCTCAAGGGGTTTTGCAATCTGTGCAGCATACGACACCCTAAGGGAATAGGTAAAAAATGGAAGAAACCTCAGGAACAGCAGAGAGGGGATCCCTCTCCCAGGACCCACACATGCAGTAGTTGTTGCGAACTGTCATATGTTGTATTAAATGTAATTTTAAGTGATATAGAAACAGCGTACCACTTATTATTTCATGATTTGATGTCGTTTTTGGGTCTGTTCTCAGTGATAAGATGCTGAACCTTTGAATAGCTTTTGTTCAGAAAACAAGACTCCTTACTAAAACTCCAGAACTCTTTACCATCTTTACTGCTTACCAGTTCAATGTTTATTCCTTAGCACAATTTGTATTTGTTTAAAATTTACAGAAAACACATGACTTGCCCCTGAGACAGTACAGCACATGACAGCAGGGTGTAAGATGCAGGTAGGAGCAGCGTACATGGAACGCCATAACCAGGTAGCTGGCATCTGGAACATCTGCCATGAGTATAGGCTGGAAGTCCCAATGTCAAAATGGAGACACCTCCTAAGGTAGTTGAGAATGACCGAGCTAAGATCCTGTGGGACTTCAAGACCCAGACTGACAAACCAACCAGACATCGTGTTGATTGACAACAGTGGAAGAAGGCAGTAGTGAAAGATGTAGCAATCCCAAGTGACAGCAACATCAAGAAGAAGGAACACGAGAAGCTTGAAAAATATCAAATATCAAGGGCTGAAAGAGGAGCTAGAAAAGATGTGGAGAGTAAAAGCAACAGTGTTGCCGGTGGTAATCGGAGCACTGAGGGCTGTGACCTCCCAAACTGGGAGAGTGGCTCCAGCAGATTCCAGGTACAGCATCTGAGGACCTTAACACTGTATTATTATTATCATTTATCATTACACTTCTGTAATAGAGCCTATTATAAATTACTGTACATTTTCCACACTCTTATTCATATTTATATTTTAATTTTACATGGTATAGTTCTTTATATTCTATTTACCAACTTTCTATAATTTTTTCTATTCCTTTACACTTTGATGTGCAAGGTGAGCAATTGTGACACAAGACTTTCCCCTTGGGAATCAATAAAGTATTTCTGATTCTGATACACAACTTGGCCAATAAAGCTGATTCTGTTTTGGTCTTCATAGAAAGGAAAAATACAGTAAGACTTTAATAAATGGCAAGGGACCTCAAACTTGTTAATTAACAGTTGTTGTTGTTTTTTAGATGCATTATAATTTGTGTCTGCATTTCAAGATGTTTGCCTTATTGTTTGTACATAAAGCAAGTTTTTAATAAAGTTTAGTTTTAAAAAACTGGGACCTTTTAAAGACCTATCACAGTCTGGCCATTTCAACCTCATTATATCATGTCATTTAAAACATTCAGTTTAAAATGTTCTGACCAAGACACGATGAATACGTATCAAAACGCATATGTTCTGACAGAAAACCAACACACATCCATCCATATATCGTTGAAAGTTAGTAAACATGTCGATGGTTTTAATCAGGCGCCCTGAACAGGCTGCTATTGCGTAGTGCCGACGGGCTGTGTATCCCCACTGACGAGAAGCTATGGGATTAGCAAAATAGTCCAGAGATGCGTGTGTCTCCTTGGTCACCTCTGAAAACACACTTCTTTAGCCGGTTCCGTCACCGAGGTAGCGGCGTTGTTGTTACGAACGGGCGCAGATTTTTATTACGCTGTCTTACGGAATAATGTTAACACCTGTGGCCTTGAGCAGAGCAGGAAAACGAACTTGCCACCTGAGGTAACTCGCTAGCGCGTTAGCAGGCTCGGCGGCTCGACGACATAATAGGCTGCTGTGCTTCTCGGGAACACGGTGTGCTCGTTGTGTCAGATCAGCTCGGCCGCTCATCGATGATAGTATCTGTGATTTACAGATAGCGTCTCTATCCTTCACGGTTGCCTTTTGTTGTGTAATCATCCCCCCTGGCCGTGGGATGGAGTGGCACCATCTTACTTGCTAGTGAGCGAGCTAGCAGCTGTACAGCCGGTCCCCAGTGTCTTCGCATTGCGCTGGCTAAAAATACACTTCTTGTCCCATGCTCACTGCCCCTCCAAAAGTGGTGGGCTAGTCCACACCGGACTTCGGATTTTCTGGTCGCCTTGCTTGGAGTTTGGCACTCTACATGGTCACTACAGTGAATTCAGGACGACTTGAAGAGCGAGTCGGACCCCGAGGTTGTGAGCCGAGCTGGCCTGATCTAACGTTACATCGTACCGGTTGGTGGGCTTTAGGTCTCCAAGTGAACGAAACTCGGCTTTGGCTTATCGGTGGCCGAATATCATTTTGCCCTAATGGCCTTGTACTGCCTCCAGTAGTAATATAAGAAGCCTTGGTGCAGCCCAGGGTTGCAAGAGCTAAACTCTGTAAAGGTCAGAGAAAAACACTGTTTCCACTGTCAACTGTCTGAGATTGGCGAGGCAGACTTCATCTGTCCGGAGCAGAGCACCATGTCGGAGGACAACAACGCAGACAAGTTTATCAAGGTAATTTTAACAAAGTCAAATGTGAATCCTCATGCAAATAGACATTGGTTGCATTAGTTTTCACTTCTGTGATAATCACATTCTGCTTGATTTAATGAAGTCCGAATTAAATAAGTGAAGCTGCAACAACAAACATTGGTGGTTCAAATGTTCTGTTAGTCTTGGGATTGTAGATTATTGCTGAGTGACAGCCGGATGCCACTTTACTCGCTTCATTTGTTTTATACATTTATTATTTTCAATGTTACGTCTGTCAACATGATACCAGGTGGCGATGACCCATTGGATTAGACACATGCCTTTGTGTGTGAAACCTGGGTTTCTATTCCCACTGTGACATCCACCAATGTGTCACCGAGCAAGTCGCTTAACGCCTAGTTGCTCCAAAGGCGTGCATCCGCTGACATATATAGTAATTGTATGTGGCTTTGGATAAAAAGCGTCAGCTAAATGACAAATTATTATTATTATATTATTTTAGTGGCCCTATGAGTCTAATGAAGACTGCACTAAAAGCTCATAGAGTCAAGTCATAGATTGGTGTAACCCATGACACTCCTTGACGATAAGAGTTTTTTGTGTAGCTTACAAATAGTGGAAATGTGAATCATTTAAAATGTGTTATGAAAAGTTGTACCCATGATAAAGAGTAGTGTCGAGCTTGGCTCTATCTAACATAGTTATGGTGATTAAAGCGCAACATTTCCATACACCCTGGCTCTGGGAATTGTTCCTGGCCTGCTCCGCTCGATGTGTCACTGCCCAGGCATCTATGACAGCAGTAAAATGTGATCTCAAGTGGCCCTGGCCCATGCTTCCACAGTTGGGTCAGAATGTACCTAATGCTGGGTTGACATTGGGGGGTGTGGGGGGGACACCACTGAGAACCTGGAAATTACACTGTGTGTCCACTGGGGCCCTTATCATAAAGAAAGATTAGTGGGTTAGCTAGCTAATTATGGACTTAACCCTGGCTCTCTGGTATCAAGACCCTGGCACGCTCTAAACCAAGAAGTCATCATAGTAACCTGTTGTGCTTCACTGCTAACTTCTGCTCTGCTGGAATGAAAAGTTGCATTGTACCTTGTATTAAATACGTTTCTCCTGATCTATTGATGGTGCACGTGGTTGGTTTGTATTATCAGCCGACGGGTAACCAGCTTTGGCCATTATCCAGGGCTGCCAAATATGGGCCTAGCGCAGTCAGATCCTTCAAAGATATCAAGCAAGCACTTGGCGACAGTGGCAAGGACAAACTCCTTTTTGAAAGGAAACACTATCATGGAACTAGACAGGTGATAATGGATAAGAGAGCTATTACACAACCCGGTGCTAAGACAAAGGGTAAAACTTCACAGCACTCTTTACACAGTACCCAAACTTTTTTGAATGAGTTTAGATTAAAATTCATTTTCAGTTGATATTCTGTACTGACAATGATTGGGTGGGTGGTCTTTCTTGCACAGAATATTTTTCTTTATCAGTATAGTTTATCATGACATAGACTATACTCATAACTGTGAAAAGTAAAGGGAAATGTAACCCTAGGTTTGAAAACCATACATACATACATTTCTTCTGTTCAAACATCTGATGTATTGTTTGGTGCGGTTTCTCTTCCCGACAGGAGACATCCATTCTAGACGAGTACAACATTAACTGGACGCAGAAGTTGGGGGCCGGCATCAGTGGACCTGTCAGGTGAGTGAGGGAAAGTGCGTTAAGAAGTACTTTTCTCCATGGTCTTTCTCCATTCTCTAAATATGAGTTTTTTATTTTTTTTTTCCTACTGATTTAACTGTGATTGTGCTGCATCAGATCAATGTTGAATTTCTGTTTCTGGGGCAGGATGGCATAGACAAAACTCGGGACATGTAGAATTGCATAACCAGGATACATCATCATGGCGTCTGTTTTTACCTGTAATATTGTCTTGTTGGTGTCCACGAAAATGAGTGATCATATCAGTCACCATGTTTGACTGTCATTGTTTAGGATTGCAGAAATCATACTGGGAGAAATCTGACATGCTTGGTTAAGCCTGGCTGTGAGAGCAGAGCCGGGGTCAAGTCAGATTGCTTCCTAGTTTTGTTTAGATCTGACCAGTGTATTCAAAAAATTCTAAAATCCCATGATAGGATTAAAGAGGGGGATGAATATCGATTTTATTACACAGTTTAGTCATGCACTGCTATTGTGAATGCTTCTGCAGAGTGCAGGAGATGTGGTTGCAGCTGTGCTTTTTGGCTTCCCTGACTGCTGGATTCAAGTGTGATTTCAGAGCAGGTTATTTGCTAACTGGGCTGTCGAATGGACAAACTTTGTGACTGCTGCCAAAAACCCCTTCCTACATGTGTCACTTTCACTGTGGCACCATTTCATCAGCACAGTTTGACTTTATCCATGACACATTGAGAATGTGAAAGGGCCAGATGCAGAGAACAGACTGGTTTGTAACACCGTCACAACTGAAGGCTTAATATGGAGATTTTGGCACCCGTACCGTTTTTGTTGTGGTGGCTCATTTGTCCCAGACCATGTAACTGCAGCGTCCTGGTCTTGAATCAAACCCAAAACCCTCAGACTCCTGAGTGGAAGTATCTAAGCCTGTTTTTGAAAGTCTTCTTGTGCAAATGCGTACATGTAAACATTTGGAAAAGTGTATTATATCTAATTCCTTGGCTTTGGAAGGTTTTAGTCCACATGATATATGTGAAACCTTTTTATGCACTGCAACTAACCCTATTTTGAGAAAGCCTCTTTTCTGTACTCAGATCGAACAGTGGATGCTGGTGGATGCATGAAGGATCAATGATAAAACTCAGCACTTTTCTTAATTTGTGCACCCCCCTCTGCATTTTTCTCTCTAATCTTTTCCACTCTAACACACCGACAGTAACGTCACAGGAAAGCACACATTTCTGAGATATTAACAAGAAGCAGCAAGCCTTTTTACGTTTAACCCATTGAGAAACTACTTTTAAGTCATGGGGTGAATCCAAAGGACAGATTGAAGTTGTCATCAGCCTTACAAGCAGGACTTATGGCTGTTATTAACGAGCAAGAGATGTGACTCAGATATTGGCCAATAATGACTGCATTATTTTCCTCCATTTATAAACTGTCTGCGCATTAGCATTCTCCCAATCTCAAAATGTTGACCCAAGCCCTCGTCGCCCCAGCTATCACTGGTATAATCGCTTCATAGGGAAAAAGGTCTGTTTGTCTTTAGATTTATTCCCTTACTCCAAAACATTATGGGGAGACAGTGGCTGCTCAAACAGCTTTGAGTCTGTTTATGCTATGTGCAGTTTCTTCTGTGCAAGTCTGACTGCCCTCTTGATTCCAGGTAGACACACGCTGTAATTTATTAGTGTGTGTCACTGACTGCTCCTGCCCAGTCTGCACTTGGATGCTATCATGGATCAGTGGAGAGCAACCTGTTATTTCCTAACTTGTGTAGTTTTGGCCTCAAGTGACAAGAATATTGAGAAGTCAGCTGTCCATGAAAACAAACTCTTAAACTCTGTGATTCATGCTGGACTCACTCACTTATCCCATATTTTCACTCTGAGTCATGGAGAGTTTTGCCTAATGCAAATTTTTTTTTGATTCACCTACGCACCCCCCCGCTAACCTCTTTCTGTCTCATAACAAGTTCATGTCTTTCACTGTACCAGCCCCCCTCTCCCTAACTCTGTGATTCATTAGGTGGGTATTGCTTTCCAGCGAAATGAACTTTGCCCGAAGCAGAATGTTTCTTGCAGTAATGCTTTAATAGTGTAATCTGAGTTCAAGGGCCAGAGGTTGCTGTTTAAAGTGAATATTTGAGTCATTGCTGCTTAGAAGAAGGAGAAAGGAGTTGACGGACTTTTCAGAAAATGTATATCCCCATAGTCCATATCTGAACTGTTTTCTGCTGCAATCCTAAATGCAGTTTGAAGAAAACCGAATGCCAATTTTCTTGCAACCTTGAATATGATATGGAAAAAAATATTACTGACTCAGATGGCTGTCTTTGGTTTTACTCTCATCACAAAGATGAACATCTTTCCCATAACAAACTGTAATGTTGACGAAATACTGTTCCTAATTCTAGCAACACTTCTTTTCTAAGCTTTAAGAAGGGTGCAGATGTATAACACCAATAGAACCATATTAACGCACATAGAAATTGACAATAAAGCTAAAAGTGAATTAAATAAAATGGAGAAATGAACGACAAAACGAGTCATGTTGTGCAGCCAGACACCGTTCAACTATAAGAATTTCTAAGAACTGTAAGAACGGATCAAGATGCATACTAAGCAGAGCGTTCACAGTTGAAATATCTACTTGTCAGCGCTCTCTGTTTTTCTGTCAGATTATATAATGGCCATGACACTGTTTCTGTACTGCAATGTCTTAATCCTTATTTACTGACCTGTACACTGATACTAATATTTACCGTAATAAGCTAATATCGACTGATTTAGTTTAAACCCACAGAAATATAATAAATAACAAATATATGTGGCCGAATTTTGTGGAAATATGTATAAACTAACATATTTTCATTTGATGGAATGATGCCACGATAAAAACACTGTCTGTCTCTAGTTTGAATACTTAATTAGTGTGAGCTAGAGCTGCTCAGTTAATCAAAACATAGCAATATGGTCAACTGCAATATCCGAATATCAGAAGCTGCAATTTTTTGATGAAGGTAAGAGCCAGACTCGTTGGTCTGGCAGTTCAGGTGCATTCTCAACCGTAGTGAAGGTACTTCATCACACTGCCTTCCCCTCCGGGAAGCACACACAGGCGTCCCTCGCACATCCAGCAACCGGACTTCTCCCATGCCAGGGTGCCCCCAGTGGGGGCCCCCCGCCCTTGGGTTCCCTCATACGGTTCAAACACTGGGCCAGTGTCCTCATGGCAAGACATCAGCAGTCACCCTACCCGGTTTTATATTTGTGGAGACTGTGTGGATATTTGTGGTTTTGGGCTACAAAACAAAATTGACGAGTTCATAATGGAAATGTTTCTTTATCATACAAACATGAGTGGTGGCAAAATGCTTGACATTGTGTTTTATGCACAGACACTGATTACATTTTGCAGACAAGAGTTTAGTACTCATGACTCAGATAAGCCCAACATCGATGATAAACAGAGCTACTGAAAATAAGAAACTCCCTGCCACTACAGAAACTGCCTCACTGATTATTTGCATGGTCACACCTGTGACACAGGTTGGGTTGTCAAGTTGAGTGAGATGTTTGTTGACTCTTGTTTTCTTGTTTAGAGTTTGTGTGAAGAAGTCATCTCAGGAACGCCTGGCCCTAAAGATCCTCATTGATCGCCCCAAGGCAAGAAACGAGGTCAGAGGACGCATTGCCGTGTTTGTGATTAATGTCTGTTAATGTTGTCTTCGGCTGTATCAATATGCTTTGTTCTGCCTGTTATCAGTCTTAATGAACTCCTGGTTTTCTTTTCTCATCACTCTGTCTCCTGTGCTTCTTCTGTCTGTTTGTCTCTTTGTCCATAACATTGTCATCCTGTGGTGAACAGTGTGTCTAGCAGTCTCTCCCTGTCATTAGCAGCCTTCTGTTTTGATCAAGCCGCTTATTCAGCAGTTGAGCAGTGAGACATGTTGTCAAAACAAGCAACACAGACTTGCTTCACACAAGCGCTCGCTGCTGAACTGTGAAAGCTGTCACTGACGAGCAAATACACACAGATTATTACCACTAAACATCATCTCCTTCTAGCACTTTTGTCATATTTTTAAATGAGGTTGTACCTTTTGAGATATATGAGAGTGTGTGTTTGTGCACGGTAATGATGAGTTCAGTTTACATATGTGGTTTATAAAGGAAACACTTTCTTTATCGGCCTTACAAATTGCTTCTTGCATAGTCTGACGCTGCATATTAATTTGCATCATTGCGAGTAGTCGGAAGAAGCCTCCTCATATCACATAGAATGTGATATAAGGTGACATAGAATAACATAGAACCTGTTCTACTGTTTATTTAACAGTTTATAAGGACAAACCGGACACAATAAAGGTCACATATTTTTGTTGCGTTCTTCTGTCACAGCTCCTGTATGAAACCACCTGAGTTATCATCACACACACACACACACACACACACACACACACACACACACACACTCCTCTTTTCTGTAAATATGATGAAGGAAAAAGAATAGTAAACAAGACTTTCAATTCTACAGGAACCAATAACTAGCAGTTATGTAGGTACATACAGTTGTCTGCAGAGGTTGCGCAACGGCTTGTGTTTTACGTATTTTATGTCTATTTTCTTTCATCTTAAATACGTAAGTACGGTGATGGTGTTTTGGCTTCCGAGCACTGCCAAAACATGGTTGACCTACATTAAATTAAATGTGCCTGAACGCATCCTGTGCAGACACAGACGGAGGAGTGAAACTGCTGTTCTGCTACAGGCTGCTTTTGCTGTACGGGATGTGTAGACATTGTGTCAGGGTTTGGTGATGGTGATTACAATATACAGTGAAACTGTAGAAATGTATTAGATTTCGTCCTATAGATTCTGAGGGATCAGTTCAGTATGTCTTGTAGTTTTATTAAGCCATTGTTACTGTAAACAGTGTTTTTTTATTCTCTTCAATGCAGGTGCGTCTCCATATGATGTGTGCCAACCACCCAAACATAGTGCAAATCCTGGAGGTTTACGCCAATAGTGTCCAGTTCCCACACGAGTCCAGTCCGAGGTAAAGAGCGGGGGGTGTGTGTGTGTATGTGACTTTGTTTGTATAAAATCCATTTCTGTTTTTAACTGTACCTCATCTCCTCTCTTTTTGCTGTTTCCTCTGACCATCTTTACCTCCTTTTTTTACAGAGCGAGGCTCCTGATTGTTATGGAGATGATGGAGGGTGGCGAGCTGTTCCACAGAATCAGTCAGCACAGGCACTTTACTGAAAAGATGGCCAGCCAGGTCACAAAACAGGTGAAGACACATACACAAACACACACCTCTTCAGCATGCAAGGAGTCAGCACAGACTGCTTGCTCTCTGAATGTTATTTATCTCGATATTTAATTCCGGTCAGTCAGTCTTTGTCCGGTTGTAGTCTAACTGCGCGTGTGTGAAACACTTTTCCTCTGTGTGTAACAGCGTATCTCGCAGCCTCCCCATGTCATTAGCAGCCCGCCCGCTTGGATAAAGCAGCTCATGAGGCAGTTGGACAGTGAGACACATGGTCAAAAGAAGCAACACACACCAGCTCAAATTAATTGTGTTTAAAGGCTGCTTTAACACACACACACACACACACACACACACACACACACACACAGAGAGAGAGTGGTGTCTTAGTCTGATGTCTCTCCCCCTTTTAGATCAGTCAAGCCTTGGAACATTGTCACTCCCTAAATATTGCACATCGTGACCTGAAGCCAGAGAACCTGCTCTTCAAGGATAACTCTCTGGTAAGAGGCTGACGTTGCATTGCATTGCGCTGAGAATAGGTGGAGGCATAAATACTGCAATTTTAAAAGTGTACCTCTACTGATGCCTCTGCTGATACTTTTGCACTAATTAAGCACACAACATGCAGTATATTTACTTTTAGGCTGGAACCAGCGCTTTACTGGCAGAGATTTTGCAGAAAATGGCCAAAATTTTGGAAAGGATTTGGAAATATCCAATCTACATTTGCTGCTAGACAAGAAGTCTACCCATAAGCTTCTATGATCTCCCTAAAATCTGAATGTGTTCCTTTTTAAACACATTTTGTCAATGGAAACTCAAGCCACTGAGACATGAGCAAACTGAGATTTTTTTTTGCACAGGAAGCTGCTAAATTATGTTTCTGTTCTCGTTCCACGTTCATGCTGCTCACTGAATGATCGTGTCTTTTCCACAGGATGCACCCGTGAAGTTGTGTGACTTTGGCTTTGCCAAAATTGATCAAGGAGACTTGATGACCCCTCAATTCACTCCCTACTACGTAGCACCTCAGGTGAATAGCGAACACACAATTCATCCAAAAATATGTGGTAAATGTACACACACACAGGTTTGCAGCAATATAGAAAGCGGAAGCAAATGCCCATGATGTTTTCCTCCTGCTGTTATTTCTGTTAGGTACTTGAGGCTCAAAGAAGACACCAGAAGGAAAAGTCTGGGATTATACCTACCTCACCCACTCCTTATACCTATAATAAGGTCAGACCCAAACCTGTTCCACTTAAGCTTTTAGGCTTAAGCTTTTAGGCCTGCCATGCGAGGATTGTTCCTTAATTGATTAAATGTACTGTGCTAGGTTTCTTACAAATATCACTGCTGAAGGTATTTTTAAATAAAAGTTTTGCCTTCTCTTCTCTGTCATTCTTCAGAGCTGTGACTTGTGGTCTCTCGGTGTGATCATCTACGTGATGCTGTGTGGCTATCCTCCGTTCTACTCCAAGCACCACAGTCGCACCATCCCGAAGGACATGAGGAAGAAGATCATGACGGGCAGCTTTGACTTCCCCGAAGATGAGTGGAGCCAGATCTCTGAGATGGCTAAGGACATTGTACGCAAGTAAGTCTTTTTCTTGGATTCCCGTCTCTTTATATTTGACTCAGGTTTTGTATACCAACGGTTGTTGTTTTGTTGTTGCCCTTTTAAATATCCAAAACAAATTTAAAAAACTGCTATACGCCTACTTCCCATATGTTGTTTGTTATTGTCCCTATTATACTGACTTGCCTTGCCTTTCCCCACATTTCCTTCCTCCTTTTCTCTTACTTTCCCACTCTCATTCCAACCATCCTTTTGATCATTTCTTCATTCATCCTTTTTCTGTCTAATCATTTTTTCTCCCTACCCTCCTCATCCCCTCCCTGCAGGCTGCTGAAGGTGAAGCCAGAGGAGAGGCTGACTATTGAAGGAGTATTGGCCCACCCGTGGCTCAACTGCACTGAGGCCCTCGACAACGTGCTTCCCTCTGCCCAGATGATGATGGACAAGGTGAGTGGGAAGTTAAAGGTCTTGTGTTGCGCTAATGTTGAATGATCATGCTGTTCCTGAATGAATTTTCAGCAGACGCCACTGTTGAAAGTTAGTCATAGTACTTATTATCTTCCAGGCGGTAGTCGCAGGTATCCAGCAGGCCCATGCAGAGCAGTTGGCCAACATGAGAATTCAGGATCTGAATGTTAGCCTGAAGCCCCTAAACTCTGTCAACAACCCAATCCTCAGGAAGCGGAAACTACTAGGGTATGTTTGCTTTTGTTGATGTTTTTGTGTCAGTTTTTCCCATAAAGTTTAGAAATACAAAATCATTTCTTTCTGTATTTGAAGTATAGATACATTGCACAGTAAGGTAAAAGTGCAGTACATTAAGGGACACTATCACAATGAGGTGAGAATGTTTTACTGATGTTTCTCTCTGCCCTACTGTATAACTCGGTGGAGCCCAACCGATAAATCGGCGTGCTAATATTATCAGCGGATATGAGCTGATTGGAGATAAATCGGTATTTAGTGTTAATAACTGCAGATATATTAGTATTGGTGTGAATAACAGTCGATTAATTAAGAAGAAATGGAGACCATGTCATGAGTGTTGTTGTTGCATAGTTTGGCCACCTGAGGGCACTCTGCAACTCCCCTGTTGGCAACACACATCCACCACAAGTGTTTAAAAATAAACTTGTTTACTTGTTATCTGCATTATGTTATCTTGGTGATGTCTCATAACTACACATATCAAATGTTAGGGATAATCTGTGTTTATATTATGTGTTTCTGAATAGAAGAGGAAAAAAAGAACATCGGCTGATATACGTCGGAAATCCTTAAATATCAAAATTTATATCGGCTCCACAATCCTATATCAGTCGGGCTCTATAACTCAGTACTAAATCTAAACTAAAACCTCATTCTCTTAATATACTATTCTCCTAATTGAGTCTGTAATGATAGATTTTAGGGGTCCTCGATAAAATCTCAAAGTTTGGTCTGAAATGTGTTATTGTGTCCATGTTGCAGCCCCAAGCCCAGTGACAGTTTCTTCATTCATGACCCAGAGAACGGAGGGGAAGACTCCAACGTAGCGCTGGAAAAATTACGAGATGTCATTGCACAGTGTATACTACCACAAGCTGGTCAGTAAACCCACACTGATATTAAAGACGTTTAAACTAAGTAGACTAAAAACAGCAACCAGCATTTTACTGAAGAAATAACTACTGTACTGTATATTTACTAATGTATATATTGCATAACATTATATACCGTTCTAATTTGCTGGAATACAGTTCATCACAGTCAGCGTATCTATGTTGACTTGATGAAGTAAAAAATGTGTTTTCCCACCACTCAACTAAGAAGAATTTTGCCAGTTGGAGATGAAAACAAAACAAAGAAACTGTCAGTGTGCACAGGACATAGATGATCACTATTAATAATGTTCTGTTTATTAGGCGATAGTCACCTATGGTTTAACAGGTATAATAAATAAACATTGCTATATGAGCTGAATATATTATAGCTTATGTGAGGCATGACTGTGAATTTGTGCAAAATACGTCTCAGAGAGAGAGTAGCTTCTTGAAGTGAATATTTGTTTGTGCAGGAGAGAACGAGGATGAGAAGCTGAACGAGGTGATGTATGAAGCCTGGAGGTTCAACAGAGACTGTAAACTGCTGAGAGACGGCCTGCAGGGGCTCAGCTGGGACGGTCAGTACCATTTTAATCATCATCTATTAGGGGTGGGAAAAATAATTGATTCTTAGATGCATCGCTATGCGGACGTGGAAGATTATGAATCCATTAACAAATGTCTAAAAATCGGTTATTTAAATGTTAATTGATAACGCAATGTTGACGGAACGCAAAAGGCGGAACCCGCGGGAGTGCAGCGTCCGGACCGTCTGTGGAGCGCACACAACAGAGAGACCGGTGTTCCCCTGTATTCGCCACCGTTGTGGAATGAATAACCACCCCAAAATGTCACACAATCATTAATATCAATGCGCAAGTAATTATTTTAACTCGCACCACGTTAATGAAAGTCTGGAACGGCTGGAAAAGTGAAGGTTGTTGGCGCTAGCTAACATCTCCCCTGTACAAGGCCTGCTCTCTGTCCCCCACACCAGACTCCGGACATTAGGGACAGAGCCTTCAGCGTCACAGCCTCCACCCTCTGGAACTCATCCCCACAGAGGTCCGAAATGCTCCCTGTCTGGACACTTTCACAAATCTACTAAAAACCCAGCTCTTTACCAAGGCATTCACTCCGGAATGACTTTTTGCTGTTCTGTCACGGTAACTATGTGTAAAGGGTCATTGGGTCCTTTGAAAGGCGCTAAAAATATTTATTTATTTATGTAACGTTAGCTAAATTAGAAACAAAGTAATATTATTTATCGGCTGTATGTCAGGACTAACTAACCTACTAGTCAAGGGTTGAGAATATCTGGTACAAGCTTAGACTAAACTGGTGTACAGCTCTCAATTTATTTATTCTTGCCCAATTTATCTGGCTTATTTGTTTCATCTGCCTGCCTCTCAGTTGCAGTTACAAATGCAGCTCAGTTTTCCATATCAACAAAGGAATAGGCAAGACCAATTAAATACCTTGCAACCTGTAAGTGCTCTTTAATGGACTGATGGATTATCAAAGAACTGAAACGATCGGCCAATTAATCAATTATTCAATTGACAGAAAATGAATCTGCAGCTGATATGACAACTGATACATTTTTTAGTCACATTTCAAGCAAAAATGGCAATCGTTCCAGCCTCTCAAATGTGAGGAGGATCGTCTGCTTTTCTTTGTCTTATGAGACACTAAACTAGTACACCTTTGTAAACTGTGAAGACCTTTTTAAATATAGACCAAAAGATTAATTGAGAAAATAATCAGCAGATTAATCAATGTAAGTAACTGTACAGCCCTAATTAGTAGAATTCTGTTGTCCACCAAACTTCAACAGAAAACAGTGGTGATCATTGTTCTATTTTCTAAAAGTCTCTGTGGTTAAAGCCCAGTAGATAACGCATTAAGTGAAAAAGAATCGATGGTGTGAATTAGTTAACCATCACAGTTTTGATCTCTTTTCCAGCTAAAAGTGTTATACATTTTCTCAATTATGTTTCATGTAGTTACCGGCTCTTTAACCACCAGCTTTTTCATTACAGGACGAGCCTTCTCTGATAAAGTCGACCGCTTGAAGCTGGCTGAAATAGTGAAACAGGCCATCGAAGAGAAGACGAATCTTCAAGAATCCCATTAGCAAACGCTGTCTTTCTATCTTCTTTTTATATTGTTTATTATGACCCTTTTTAACCCATATCTGTAAAGAGGCTTTTTTATGTAAAAATGATGCGCTACTTCTTTTTTTTTTTTTTTCTTCATGAATTCACTTGCAAGACCTATTGTACAGCTGTAGATATATTTCAAAGAGGACTCATTGGTACTATAATTTTTTTTAAGGATTCTTGCAAAAAAAACATTGGAAAAAAACCCAAGTATATTTTCATTTTTTGCAACAAAAAAAAAAAAGAAAACAGAAAAGAAGAGAAAAATCAGTTAAAGAAATTATTTTCTGGGAGGGATTTTTTTATTAGCTGTTTGTCCAAGTATTTTATCCCAGTTATTTCCTTTTTATTCTATTTTCTTTTATCCATCCTAAGAATTTTATTTATTTGAAACAAAGAGCTCTGTTATTTTATTCCTTACTTGTAGCCTGGCGGTGGGCTGTAATGTCGAGAGAAGCTGTCTGCTATGCGACTTTGTTCTTCCACACACACGCTCTGAATCTCAGACTGTGTTTGAGTTATCTGAATCTTTGTTTTTGTGTAACTTTCCGCTGACCTTTTTTGCTGGATAGAGTTCAAGGCAGAGTGGAAATGGAGGTAAAAGAAAGTGTCATGAAATAGACAAATGCAGCTTAATTTTGTCACAACCCCTTATTTGAAGCTGTTAAGTGACGGTACTAAATACATCAAAGAAGACTGACTAAGCAGAAACACTATGGCTGGGTTTCATTCTGACACATTTAGATCAGTCTGTTTTGACAAAAAAAGTCTTAATTTGTTAGCTTTTTGGAAGTTTTAAACTGTCTCACGGCCTTCTTTACTTAGACTGTGAGATGCTGCTGAAAGCTCCAGTTAAGACTTTATTGTCAAACTGTTTCCACGGTCAGGAATTAACTTTCATGATTAACTAAATCCAGGTAGGTTCCACAAACATATACACATGAAGAGATGATACTGTTTGTCAGCTTGTTGCTTCATCCGCAACTATGAAGCAATCGGAGCTGCTCTTACATAAACTTGTATCTACTGGAATTCAGACCAGGGTCAGTTAATTAATGTTTAAGTCCTTTTTAGAGCAGGAGAGCTTGCTACTTGAGCCAACAGAAACATAAATTAAGTTGATGTGTTTATGGCAGAAAAGATCGATAGAAAGGTTTAAGCATAAACAGGTCTGTTAGGATTTCAGTCTCATCCAACATGCTGTGCTACTAAATGTGCAATAGGGCAATCATTTAATAGTGTATTTATAGTGCATGCATGTACATGGTAGCGAGATTGTGTGTATCCATCTGTCAGTATTACTGTCTGACCTTCCCTATTTCATTTCAGTGGTCTGAATACCAGCAAATACTCCCTCCCTTCGCTCATCCTCTAGATGTTTATTAATATCATATCATTGATTAGCCAAAGTGAACTTTTTTGCTCCAGTGCTCTTGTCATATCTGATATTATTTCTTCAAAGAGGGGTTGAAAAAAAGGGATTCATGTTTAGGTGTTGTAAGGAGGGCATTGTTGAATCAACAGAACAGGGATTAGATGGCTGAGAGTGCAAGTTTTCATGTTCAGTGCCTGGTTATTTCTTCAATAACGTTGTTTATTTTAAAAATCCTCAAATGTTTGTTATGAAGTTCCCCTTTGACCTTTTTTTTTTTCTTCTGTGAACATATTTTCCTGTCAAGATTACTGCATTAACGATGTCTTTTTTTTCTTTTTTTTTTACCTTATTGAAAATATATTCTGAGTAATTAGCAAACATTGGTGCAATATATTGTTGCTGTCCAGTGAAAAATGTGTATCTCCAATTTTGGTGATTTTGAGATAAACTGAGATTAAGGAAATTCTCCTACTTCTTAAAATAAATAAACCCTCTAAAAACTCACTGGATTATCTTTTTGCATTGTCACATATCTTAAAAAAGGCAGTTTTTTCCTCACGAATGGTTGACATTTTGGAGACACAGGACAGTGACGATATGTAAGCTGATCCTTTTTCACACCATTTGTAACTGACGGGAAGAAAAAGTTCAAGCCTTCCTTTTGTATGTCTTGTATTTTTTATTTAGGTTTGGTTTAAAAACTAAATTCATCAATCATTACCATCATGATTCTGAGAGATTGTTTTGACGATGTCTTGATGATTTGTCATACATTCTCCCTTTTTAAAAGCTCAATGATAACCATAGCTTGTATTTGAAAAGGCCTTATTATTATACGGCCAAAATTTATGCTTAAATGTGCCTTTTTGATGGGGCAGCATCTACATCCTTTACTGCTCAGTAAAAACAAGATGAAGGGAAACTCAGAATCATCTAGTAGTGAAGTGTATCTTTCATTGCACAATTTGCTGTGTTGGTTTAGCAACATTTTGTTGAAATTAATTAATATTTGGCTTCAAGTCTTAATATTAGATTACCTAATTGGGCTGTGTCTTGAGTTAAGCCCTTATTTCACCATAAACACAAAATAGTTGGGGTTTTAGGGAAATATACTTATTTTATTATTATTATAAAGACTGAAAATGGGGAAACGGCTAGCCCAGCTGTGTCCAGTGGTCTTCCTAACAGCACATCTGAAGCTCATAAATAACACATTAGATCTTGCTTGTTTAAGGCTGTTAAAAAATTGAAATGTAAAATTAACAATTTGCATTTTATGGGTTTGTGCCATTTTCTTAAACCCCATGTAACATGTTAGTGAGTTTCAGAGGTGCTGTAGTGTTTATATTTAACAGACAGGAATGGGAGGAGTGTCAGTCTTCTCATCTCTGCCACAAAGCAAATTAAGCTTGTTTTCCAATACGTCGATTTCTTATACTTAAATGTGCAATAGTAAATTTTTGTTTTTGTTTTGTTTTTTATGTTGGATCATTCATTTTGGAGCCCACCACATCAAACGTACAGTATTGCAGAATCAGCCGAGCTTCTCACTGAAAGTGGAACGTACGTGTTTTGTTTTGCTTTGACCATGTTTGTGTGGATCTGTGACAGTATGCAATTAATTTATGTGTGTGTGTGTCTGACCAGTATACTGGACTTGTATTATCTGGAGGCCTATCAAAGAATCAAGAGCTGCATCCTTTGAATTTCTTCCCCACCCTGCAGCGTTTATATGCTCTACTGAGTGAGCATTATTGTTTGAGGATAGTGTAATTATTTATTATTGCACATATCTTGATATGGATACTCCTGAGTCCCGACAATAAAAACCCAATGGGAAACATACAGTCATGCTCGGATAGCATTTACCTGCTGTCTGCTGCTCAGTGTTAGGCTACTAAAAAAATCCCAGAGGGCATTTGGGTTTGAAGATGCTACCTCCCTCACATCCTCTTACTGAGTAGTTACAGCTGCAGGATGCCCTTCAGGCAGACATTCAGGCTTACCTTTGCTTAAGATATAACTATATATAACCAAGTAGCTTCCACTAGTCAATTTCTCTCATCTGCTCACTGAAGAGAAACTTCTTGTGTAATCCAAGCTCTCTGTACACGGAGTTCTGGCTGTAGAGGAATAAACCATGTCCTTTTTTAAAACACCAGCTCATTAAAAAATCACCGGAAAGCAACAACTGGTTCAGTCTGCACTGATATTCTTGAATAACACCAGTTGCTTCCATTTTATGTGTACTCAAAGTACGGAGAGGCGCGATTATATATTTTGAGTTTTAAGAAGCGCTTGCTTCTTTGGGTCTGGCATCAAACAGATGTAAAGAGGAAGAATTAATTTCACCTGAAGTAGCTGTTCTTGTTTATGTGGATTAGTCAGGGAGAACCCCCCATTCTCGGCTTTACCAGTTTGTCTCGCTTTTCTCTGGTATGGCAGTTATGTAGCATGTACCTGAATCTCTCACGAAAGGCTGTTTCCATCTACACATCTATATTTGCCCCTTCTGTCTTCTTTGGAGTGTCATCAACATGCTGACTTTGTAATAAAGGAATCCTTTGACTTTATTTTTTCCTTTTACAGTGTTTTGAGTATTTAATGCACATTCCTACTCAGATAAATAGACGCCCCACAATCGCATTTCCTTACATGTACAGGATAGGTTTGTTTGCACACAGTAATGAGGGGCATTTGGCTTTCTGTGAGAAGTTTGGGTGATTAATTAAGTATGGCTTCTGTAATTTGGAGAAAATATAAATCCCAACACAGCATTAAATCTTTCACTTTACATAAAGTGCACAACTTTTACATTTTTCCCTCTATGCCATATTTATGCTATTTCATTGTCAGCTTTCACAAAATGTTGACTGTGTGGCATTAAGTTAATATTTTATTGCAGGTTGGACACAGAGCAGAGATCTAGAACAAAAATCAAAATTCATACCTCAGAAGAGGAAAAACATTGACACACTTGCTATGTTACACATATTTAAGGCTTTTTTTTTTTTAAGAATTTGTTGGAAAGCAGCAATAAAACCAAAACATTGTATCCAGGATGGAAATCAAACCATCAAAAGCTTGAAAGATGAAATTATAATTCAATGTCTGTTTCACACCAGGGAGACTTTTTCGTTACTCTGAACTGGCAGAAGGTCTTTAATGGCAGGGGAAATGTTAAAACACAAACCAAACTACATGCAGTACAGAGTAACAGGTGAGTTTCATGACATGAAGGAAGGGGAGGACAGGCAGTTAGTGTCCCCCTATTTAACCCATGAATGCACATTATTTACACCCTTAATTTGAGCAGATAATGTCTCATTGGTTCCCTCAGCACATCCTATTTTAAGGAGAAATATTAACGTCAAATACACGTTACCTTGGCTCCATGGTGTACAGAAACAGATATAAATTGTGCCTAGTTGTGATATAGCTGCAAGAGACAATGTGTTTCCAATTCCTTTTGGGTGGTTTTAGTTGTTCAGTAATTAAAGTGGAGCATTAAAACTTAACCAGGCACACCCCAGATGAATATTTTAATCTGCACTGGCGCTGTAATGCCCATTGTAAATCTGTATGTTTGGAATGTGTTTCTTAGAGCGTTGGTCCATTTTCCACAACTATATATTCTGCCCCTCCACAGTGCGCAACCGATGCTCCAAGACAAATTCCCTACATGTGGAAATGCACTTGGCAAAGTGTTAAAAGCATTAATTCAATGCTTTGAAATTCACAAAAACGTGACACACAGGGCCCGAGAACCGAGGTTTTTGCACAAATAATAGAACTAAAATGGAATTACAGTTGCGGCAAATCCATTTTAGGTCTATAATAAAACTCTCTGACCCCCCCCTAAACCAACAGAAGACAGTGACAACAGGGCCGGCTCAGTCTGAGTCCTCGTCGTCCAAATACTCTTCAGCGTTGCTGTGTGTGCGGGTGATGTCTGAAAGAAGAGAAATGGACAGGAATATCTCACTGCTTATATTCATCTAGAAAAACCTCTGTACCTTACAATATCAGTGGGCGAATATGCGTTGCACATTTTGCAAACTAAGTTCCTCTGCATGTTTAGTTTTACATAGTTGGCAATAAATACCCAGTATAACAGTCTCATTCATGATGTGAACGAAGCTTAACATTCTGGATATAAAAACCACATTGCAGCTAAGCAGCTGTGTGGCATAGTGCCACAAGTTAATTAAAGGACTAGAAATAATAGAAAGACAGTCTATAGTAAGTGGTCCTTGAATTTAATAACCTCCCCGTGGTTTACCCCTCATACCCCTTTTTCAACAAGGACATCTTTGCCAACAACATCAGATATAATTACTACAATATCTCTACTTCATGCCGATGGATAAGACAGTTTATCACATAAATGTGCAGCTGTTTACAGTAAAACAAGCTGTGGCAATCAATAAGTGTTCATTGTAATGGCTTCATACGCTCTGGCTAATGATAGTATTTTTTTGGCTATCACAGGACAGTGATGTAATAATCTTTACTGAATGAAACTATAATTTCTCAGGCACAAAGTTAAACAAATTTAGTTGCTATTTGCATACGTTTCAATAATATTGTTTTTCTATGCAGCCTGTTGGTCACGATTTCTGTTGTGGCTTCCTGTTTGGTTCCTGGTTAAAGCTTCTAAAAATAAGCAGCACAACATGCAGTACTCAAACTGGTTACTGTTCATCCCTTGAACAGTTTAGAGACCTTTGTTGCAGGCTCTGGTGCTCATCTGATGGTAGATTGTCTGAACTTGTTACTGGACATCCCCTTCTACGGACACTCAAGCCCAGTTGAGAGCTCAGTAAAAAGCATATTATTCTGTTCCCTAGTCCTGGTGCATGTGTGAGTGCGGCGAGACTGACGCATAGTGGCAGCTCTACTTACTGCTTCCCTGCTTCCTTTTGAGAAGTGAAGCACACTGGGCGTTGGTGGCCATATCCAGAGCCAGCTTATTCTCATTGTTCCTGATGTCTGTCCTCGGATCTGAAAGAAATAAACCGGTACTCACAATAAAATAAAATAAAAAAAGCAAGAAACTGCATACAGAAAGATACAATGTGCATTCAGTTGGTTGGTCACTGTTTTCTCATTTTGGAACCACATGTTCTCATATTTGAGTTTGATAAAAAATCGTTCTGGAGCTTTCCCTGCTCTGTTTCCATATCTATCCAAATACAGAAGGTGACCTGCTGGGCAATAACTTTTCATAAAACCTAATAAGAGCTGTCTCTAGATACTCACTGTTGTTCAGCAACATTTCCACAATGTCAGAATAACCCTTCCAGGCAGCAGCGTGCAGAGCGGTGTCCCCGAGTTTATTCTGAAACACAAAACATTGTCATAGCATTTACTTTGACATCTTAAAGTACTGTTCGTTGCAAGTAAAAAAGCTGGGGTGGGGGGTGACCATACCCCAAGTTGTGACCCAAACTATATAACTATATATATATATATATATATATATATATATATATATATATATATATATATATATATATATATATATAAAACTGGTCATCCTTTAAGATTGGAAAAGCAGATCTGATTCTAGTCCCTGTAACTTCAGCTGAAAAGGATACACCAGTTTATATTGTCACTTCAACTCTCTGGGCTTATATCACTTCCTGAAATGGATGAATGCGAGTCCAGACTGCAGTTTGTTGTCTTGTGTGTTCATGTGCCAACATTGGCCTCCTTACACACATGAAACTATGCGTTCCTCCACGCTTTCCTATTACAAGCTATAAATGCTTTAACAGGATTCAAGATGGCAGAAATACAGATGGGTGACAAATTAAATAAACTCCAGAACATCTTCAAAGCGTCTTGGCATAGATTTGCTGAAACTCTACTGGAGGGATAAGCACCATTTTTTCTAAAACACATTCCTTTATTTGGTGTTTTGATGATGGTGGTGGAGACGTCTGTCATCAAACCACTGTGTGCCCTGCGTGGAGGCATCTGCATCTCTTATGCTTCTCCACTGATTTACTTTTTAAGTGTTATGAATGGATCAAGCATTTCTCATCCTACAGTGCGTGTAGGAGGTATTTTTCACTAGTAAAAATAAAAACAGTAACATGATGTAGATATCTAACTCCACAGGAGGAAATCTCCTTTTGTTTATTTTTCTCCGCAGTTCAGACTGTAGATCACTTGGTAGGGAGTTTATATTAAATCCAACAGGACGAATGTCTGTCATCATAAGGCCTCGATCACAAGTCTCGTCGTTTTTGACACTTCACATTCTTGGCAAATCTTGCAATATGACATGGGCAGGGAAATCAGCTACCGCCACCTTTAACCCGTTTATAAACTTTCTTGTCTGAGTTTTTAATGCGTTTTCTCACCTGCTGGTTGAGCTCCACATTGGGCTGGCTTAGCAACAGCTCCACTACATCTGATACAGACAAACAAAACAAAACTTTGAGGTACGAATTGAGTGAAGATTAGGCATATCACATAACAGTCACGGAGGAACAATGTAGGAACGCAGAAGTACTAAGCAGTTACACAGGCGTCATAAATGTTGGATAGAGTGTAGATCATCTAATGTAGACAGTGATGTAACAGTGTTTTGGGAAATAGTATGCTAATGCTACAATAGATATTAGACATAAGGTCCCTAAGAGTTGTTTATTACTTTCTCTCTGTCATTTCTCTGAGGAAAATATAATGGGAAGAGACAGATTTTTTGGTTAAAATACTGTTCGTAGCAATTTAAAAAAGCTATTCCAAGGAACTGCGGGAAGGTGGTGCCACCGACAAAGAATATAACACTCACACAGGAACAATGTAGCAACACAGAAGAACTGGAACACTTTCATTGACCAAGTTCCTGTTTTTGTGTACTTGGGTTCTCATGTAAAACAAATCAGCCTGTGTGTCACAATTTTAAGATTTATGAAACTCAGTCACTGTCTCAACAGATTACTGTAGACAATCTTTCAACCCAAAATGTTGATGCATCCAAACATCTCTGTTGCCAGTCTGAATTTTTTTTGGCATTTTTGTGACCTAAATCCATGCAATGTCCATATCAAAAGTAAATCTTAAAGTGTTTTTATACGCCACAACTGTTGTTACCTTTATGTCCGCCGTGGCATCCCCAGTAGAGGGCAGTGTTTCCAGCCTTGTCCAGCCCGTTGATTCCAACCTTGTTCTCCACACATTCCCTCAGCCAGCTCAGATTGCCTGTTTAAATACACAAATATGTGCATATACACACACAGAAAGCACACACACAGTTAAATGGAGAAGGTTACTAATGATGCACATGGCGTAACAGCTCCTCAGCAAAAACAGAAAAAAAATGGATGTCACAGTTGCTTTTATTGTCTCCAGAAAGACAGCATTATTGCTGAGAGAATTGAGGGCATTGCTGCATAAAAAAAACAGACATGCTACAAAAAAAAGGAAATATATAAAATAGATAGATAGTTGCCGCACCTCGTTTGGCTGCTTCGTGCATTGGATTGTCAATAGACTCTGCCTGCTCAGCCACTAAAACAAGACAAGAGCATTAGCGCATCACTGATGAGGGACAATTACGAGAGAGAAAGGTCTGTATTAAGTGACTTTTTTTTGGTCACCACATGCATGTAATGAAATTCAAAGTTGTATACTCACCATAGTTACTTGGAATTAGTCCTGTCCTTCCTCTGCATGTCCCCTTCCACCAATTAGTGTCACTCTGGGGATAACAGTAATGCATTTTTTATTTTTTTTTTAAATCACAGACGCAAATGTGTAAAGACAAACAAAAAGCTACAGAGAAATGTACGCCAAAACAACTAAACACAAGAACTGTGTCTTTCCACAGACCATCACTCTGATGAACAGTCAAATAAGTCTTATAGTGTCAATAACCCTTAAACCCCCACTAACCTATAAATTATATATTCACTTTAAAAATACACACCGTGCTTTAACATGTACATATCATCCATCTATAAATCCTGCACGCTGTATATCTGTATCCATGCATCTACTGTAAATAACTACCTACTTCATGTATATAAATTAATTTATTGCTTTATTGATTCAATATTAATTATTTTGCACTATTTGTATTTTACATTGTATGCTGTTGGTCACTGTTGCTTTTTTAATATGTATATTTATACTATACACCAAATCTAACCAATTTCTATGTACATCATAGTTAGATGTTTAGTTTAACCTGTTTTTGTTCATCTTGGCTGTCTTGTTTTCAGCTGTTTGTCTGTTTCTATCTTCCTAAAAATTGTTCTGTGTCTAAAATTGACAGAAACTTAAACCCAGAGTCATATTCCTTGTGTATGTGTGCACATAATTGGCCAATAAAGCCGATTCTTTAAGTTTGATATGAAAGGGAGAAAAGACAGATTAAAAGGTGGAAACATTACAGCAAAAGGGAGACACAAAATGCAAAGAGTGCAACACTAAGATTCCAAAGAAAGAGTAAGTGCAAATATATTTTCAAACTGAATGGGACAGAGTAGTCTTAGCTATATTTCATCCATTTCAATGGAAATGGGCCCCACTCTCGGAAGGCCCCCGACTGACATGCAAGAACTGAATACTGCACCAACTTTTAAAATAAACTAAGCCTCCTTATTTCGCTCAATGTGTAGAGATATGGACACGGGGAAGCAGGGGTGCTGATTTATAAAAAACATCAATTGATAATGAAATGTGCTGCAGACTCACAGCAGAGAGCGAGAGAGAGCACACAGCCATGTGGGCGAGAGAAGGCGCAAACTCATGAGGGAACGTTTGAATATGTGTTGACGTAATATAAACACTTTCTTTGATCAGGAAGCCTAATGCTCGTCTACAGTTCTGTGGTTCATCAGTGAAGTGTATGAACTACACTGCAGACTGGACTCTCAGTTAACAGTGACAGACAGACGCTCGACTCCTCTATGAGACGTCCGTTTCCTGCAATGAACTCTCTAAGGGGTTTACTTACTGTGTCAGAGATGTACAAGACGTCTCCTTCTTCAAAGTACAGCTCGTCTGGCTGAAAAATAAAACGGTAAGACTTTGTTACGTCAGGCTGATCAATCACAGTGCCTCAGGAATTTTCATGCCTTCACAGTATTCTGACCTCAAGACTTGAGTTTTGTGGTACATATCACCCCCTTGGTTTAAACTATAATTGTTGATTTAGGACATAAAAGACAATTTATTTGCATTTCGGTGGATTTATCTGAAATTACTGGTTGATTGGTTAGATCATTAACTCCATTCACTGGTTAGTTTTTGTCATATTTGTTTCATTTGCTAATTAAATATCTTTAGGTTTTGGATTGTTGATCGGACAAAACAAGTGATCTGGAGACGTTACCTTGGGCTCTGAGAAATTGTGATGGACGTTTTTCAGTAATTTTTTAATTTCATAAACAACAACAATGGCAGCACCCAAGGAAGCGCATATTGTAAATAGTAAACCATCAACTAAAAGGCAACATTATAGTAAAATCTGTTCTGCATGTAAATATATGTAAAAATATTAGTTATGTTAGTTAAGTTATTCGGTAGCTTGTTACAGTAAATAATCTCTGAATCATTTCTGCATAAAAGTTATTCTGGAAAATGTTTATAATGCCAAAAAGTTAAAAAACATATACAGCTTTTACTAACTTTTGCATATTACCTCGCGATGTAGGTAGACGGGAACGCGATTAACAGAAAAACCTATATTTATTAAAACGGCTATCTTTTATGTTAACACCAAGGGCACTGTTGAGAGTTCAATTGTGTTTACACAAGGAACATCAGCTCGTCGTGCACCTGGAATGCTTTGAGGTCGGAGGATTGAAATTTCAACTGGGAAATTCTCACCTCCTTCTTTAATTGAAACGCAGCATTATACATTTTAAATGACTCGAATAGTCTGCATGTCCAGTTCTGCCTTTTAATAACTTTCTTTTAGCCATATTTGAATTTGGGTCCAGTGCTACGGGAAGGCACCACCACATTTTGTGACCCTGCAGATACAGCAGTCGTCTTGTGGCTTGAATTCTGTATAGCAATTCAAATTGAAATGCTCGCAATATGAGAGTCTACAATTGTTTATGTCAAATTAATATTCATCAAATGAATTGATACTGAAAATATAAAAAAAAAAAAAAAAAAAAAAAAAAAAAAAAAAAAAGAGTCAAGTGGTCTTCAACAATCATTAAACATTGGAAAAACCAAGCATCTTAAACAAAAAGCTCATACCGTTCTGGGGTCAAAGTTGAACAATGCTCTGAACACCTTGACTTGGCCTTGTAGAGAAAAAACAGATCGCATGTTAGATTCAATATAGACTTGGTGAGCAAGTTCACCCCAAGAGCGCTAAACACAAGACGATGTACTTGAGAACGTGCATAGACACAGTGTAGCCACTTCACATCCCTGCAGAGAAACCAGCGTTGCTTCACCATGCTCTACTGCTGGAATGCAACGAGAGTGGTTGTGGCCTTAGCAGACAGTTAAATTACTTTATGAATGCCAAAAGAGACATCATTTTACCTCTACCAGCTATTCTTTCCTTGGGCTAAACAATGCCTGAAGCTTTGTACAGCATGTTGTGCTGTACATTTACTACAGACACACAAAGTTTATTAAAACACCAATGAGCTGGTTACACTGATAGTCACTTTTTTTTTGTTAAATGATTTAGCTTGAGTGCAAATGTTAAGTAAATCTTCTGATTTGTCGATAAACATCAATCAGTGCTTCACTCTGCTGATTTCCAAAGATTTGTCCTGCTGTACACGCCCTTATTGGATATGTGAATTATATGCTTAGAAACATAAACGTTTGTTTTATAAATTTTTTTATTTAGGTATTTTAATCCAATTTTCTAAAGTCAGACCAGGGATGAAGGCTGCACATTAGCTTAAGCTAGACGCTATACTTGCACACACGCACACATTATAGGCTAATATAAGCTTTTTATTATTATGTACTATATTTTTTTATTTCCTTCCTGTGTTCTTACTGTGTGATTTAAATGGTGCTTGCGTCATCTGTCTTATCTCTTAAGATTATTATCATTACTACATCTATTGCATTACTTCTTCCAATGTAAAAAGGTTTATCTGTATTTTCCCTGTTAAACAACCAACATGTATAAAAATGAATGGCCCTCACTGAATTTGAACAAGGTGTAATGAAAATTCACGAAGAGCTTCTTTGAAGACCTACGCTGATATATAGTGTTAATATGTTAAATGCAGTTGATTCTGGACACATAAAGCTGGGGGAGCGTTTTTTCTAGCTAAGAGGCTTAAATGTTGGGCGGTTTGTAACTCCCCTCTGCCGGTCTAGCTAACACACTGCCTCAGTGTCTCTGAGCTGCGGCACAAGCTCAGCTCTGTTCAACACAGCAAGCGTGTCTACTCTGCAGGCTCGGTCATGTCGCTTAAAACACACAAAAGCCTGTGCCGACTAGTCCATGTTCTCTCAGCATTTTCAAAACCTCAGGCATATGAGTTATTATTCTAACTAAAATAAAAAAAGAGAAGTAAGACTGAACCTCACTGTGTCAGTCTATTTCATTTGCTTGTGGGTTTTTGATTATTTCCAGTTGTGTTATTTTATTGCAAAAGCAACTACCACAGCTCTCTCAAATATTTGCCTGATGTGGGTGGCTCCTCAATTCCCCATTCCAGTTTGAAGCCTAAACTAAAAACCTTAGCCTCCTAAAATATGACACCAAATGTCATTAGTCCAAAAACTATAATGTCTCAAATCAGAGAAGACACACAGCTCTTCAGTGCTGCCCTCTAAATTCCTGGTTAATACAAAAACTGTGAAGTCTGTTCCTCTTGTAAAGTAGCAAGAAGTAAGTACAGTGCTCAGGGTGTGTGTGGCCATGTCAAAAAAAAAAGTTATCACGTCATCAAGCAAAAAAAATCTTTGTAGAGAAATTCTGATTGGTCCTCAAAATGTCCATCAGAGGGGCAGTTACAGAGCAGCAGTCCTGATCTCACCTGACATCACAACCAGGTGAGGCGTCATGGAGCTGACATATGAATAAACATGAAGAGCATGAATGACACCATAAGGACGCGTCCACTGCTCTGAGTTCTGTGCTCTATTTTCACAGGGGACAGAGCGACACACAGACATCTGCTGAAATGCGCCTGTGTTCAAGCATGTTTCTTTTATGGACATATTTAGATTATTTTAAGTTTCTCTCTGACTTCACGTCAACAGCTTTTACGTGTGACAACCTCTGATGCACAAAAACACACTCAGCTGCCACTTTATTGTTAGGTACAGACTAAGACTGACGCGGCCTAACAACATCCCTGCAATAAATCCTCCCTTCATAAAAAAAAGGTTATAATGTTCAGCTTTTGTTGAAACTGTGTTGATTCATCTTTATGGTCATTTTGGAGGCTGTTGCGTTATACTGAAAAGGTGTTTCTAATATTTTGTCCATCTCATTAAGTGTATATCAGTGAGGATAGAATAGATTTTAATCTATCGCTGCAGCACTGTTGTGGTGCATTAGGTTTACCAAATAGTTATGTATCGCTCCCAAGGACTCACAACACTAGAAAGCTACATTAATATTTCTATTTTATTAAATTACACAAAGTACTACATTTTGAGCCCTAAATTAAACAGTGCACCTCGTGTAGTAAAATTTTAATTTAAAGAAACAATAATAGTTTAATAAACAATTATAGCTTTGGACCTCATTCAAGAAAAATGTGTATGTGCCCATCTCATTTAGTGTATACCAGTGAGGGTACAATGTTCATGAAAATTATAATCTGTGCAATATGGTTTAAAAAGGTGTCCAAATAAATTGTAACTAGATTTGTAACTTTAATATTATATTTAGAAAAGTAAAACATTTCAAGCCCAAATTAGAGAAAATGTTGCAACCTTCTCTCATGTAGTAAAAGTGAAATTAATAAATAAAACAATAATTGTCTAAGAAACAATTATAGATTTGTACCCAGACAAGAAAGATGTGTGTGTGATTTACACCAAGTACATAAAAAACTGGCACCTGAGTGTTTGACCACATGTAGGTGGTTCACTGTTCACAAGTTTTTTTGTTGCTTCCCACGTGAACATTTTCTTTTACACCTGCCATTACTTGACACCTGTTGCACAGACACAATCTACAGGCACAGTACAATTTTCACATAGTAAATGTGATTTATTCACATTTGAAAAACCGCAACATGCACAAAAACTACATGTGCAATGACTTTTTTTTGAGTAACAGACACATTTCTTTATGAGATGGAGTCCCCAGAATAGCAACCCAGACCGAGCTTGCAAGGAAGTAAGCTGATGTCATTGAGCGTGTAGACTCATCATCACCTTTTAACCCACGACCTAAAGCCACTGGATGACAGCACTCTCCTGCATGAGCGATGGAAATGGGGAAGTGGCAGAGGCCTGCTGCAGAGAGCTGGTTCCTCCTGTCAATCAGCAGTGAAGGCAATTCTACCAACTCCACTGTGGTTCTGGTCCAGTCAGTAATCATCGATATTGTTAATAACCAGACTTGATAGTCTTTCTTTCCACTGGGAGATAAACTTCTCACAGACAAACGACAGAAATGGGCCGATTTCCCTGACTAACTCTCAAGTGTTCACCCGCCCACTGCAGGGTGTGTTGTACTCGCAGGAGACACAGCTGAAAGTTTTGGCTGAATTTAAAATAACAAATCTTCACAGCGTTTGTCTTACCTGGCTTGGCCGGCTTGGGAGGAGGCTTCGACATCTGCGAGGCTCAGAGATCAAATTAAACGAAACACACTGTGTGTTGTTTCAGTCAAAAACGTCGCTGGACTGTTGTGGGGTACTTTGCTACCGCCAATGAGGAAGTGCAGTAGTACTACAGGGGACGCGGAAAAGTTCGGCTGCGCATGCGCAAACATTATATTACGTTTTAATGAGTTGGATAGATTTTTTGTGTTTTCATAATCTTTCTATACGTAAACCCTGCATGCTGAATTTTATTTGCTTTATCTTATTATTGATCAAGATTAATTCATTTATATTTATTTCTTATAAACATTTTAATTTACATAGCCTAACCTGAGGATGAGGATGCCTCAGTCACATTACTCAACTTCATATAGGCCTACAGGCATCTAGAAGGTCCTGGCTCACATGTCATACTTTTATTTTTGGGTTTTTCGTCTGCACTTTATACTATCTAGCCAGGAAATTGCTTACTTATTTTAATCTCGATGTTAATTTTGTGGGCTGGATTGTGGGATTTTTAACGTGTAGGTCTCGGGGACAGGGGGTATAAATCTGTCAGAACAGCACTCCCCCTCCCCTGGCTCTCCCCAGGGCTGTGTCCTGTCCACTCTGCTGAGGACAGACACACCCTGACATTTGCTGATGATACAGTTATCATCAGCCTGCTTATTAAGACTGAATCTGTTTGATGAATGGTGTAAGGAGGCCTTCCTCCAATTAAATGCTACAAAGACCAAGGATATGATAATTGATTTTAGAAGGAAATCACCTAAACCACCATCTCAGACCTTCATTAAAGGAATTGGCATTGAAATTGTAGAACAGCATAGATATCTAGGAACAATCATTGACAGTGACCTAAAATTTGATGCTAAATTTGAATTTGTAAGAAGGATCAGCAACGTTTGTATTTCCTCAGGAATTTAATGTTTTTGATGTTGACAAGACAATTATCCCCTTGATGCCTGAATTTATTTACAATAAAAAATAAATTAGGTGTGATGCAAATTAGCGACAACAGGCGTAAACGAGAAACCACAAGGTTCCCAGGTACGTATTGAATTTGTGCAAACAGGCATTGGGGTGATACATACGCTATCTCAGCTGCAGTCTGAAAGGAAGAGGATTGATGCTAATTTGCGACAATCGGCATTAAGGGGATATGTGTTTGTTTTACTGAATCTGTTCTTACTTTGTCTATGATTGCATGGTATGGTAACCTGAACGTAGGGACAAAAACCATCTAAACAACACTGTGAATCTGGCTGATAAGGTTATAGGTGTCTCACAGACTCCCCCTGACTGCTATCTTAGACCAGCAGGTTATCTGCAAGTTAAAGTGTTTTAATGATGTTTTTTATGCAAACTCTGTCCAGTGTATTTTATTTTACTTTAACTGTAGCCTAATTAATTTTACATAATTTTAATTTTTCTTATTATTTTACTTTACTATTTTTTTTCTTTTTATTACTATTATAATTGTATATGCAACTTACTTTGCATAACTTTTTAAAATGTTTTGACGTATTTTGTATGTAAACCTGAACTTTCTGCACAACGTTTTTTTATTTTATTTATGTTATTATTTTATTTGAACTTATTATTATTATTATTTTACTTACTTACACTATGTTAAATTTACTGAATATTATAGTCTTGTCTTTTTTCCCCCCCACAATGTGGTGACGTAGAGGCTCCATCAGCGAATCATGAGCGCCCAATTGCGGAAAAGCGACAGAAGAGCAGAGTTGTGTGTTTAGCGAGCAACATCTGTGGACGAGTTAACTCTGAATATGAGCTTTTAATTTACTTGTTTACTGTTACGCGTTTTATATGTCAGTAGCTTTTCAGTGAGCAGCCACTACAAGCTGAAATGAAGACACTAGTTGTAGGAGTTGGCGGGTAAGTAAACACTGTAAACCTAATGTGTTGACCTCCCTGCAGAACATGCCTGTTAATGTTCTGCTTGGGGGTTGTTGCTTCCAGATAGTCTGCTGGACCTCATATAACATTTTGCCCACCACCAGGGTTATAAAGAGCAAACACGGGTTTGTATAATTACTTTTCATTTAGAATTTATTTAACCAAGTCAAGTCAGTTTCATCTGAAATCTTCCTTGGTGGTTTAATGTGTAGGTGGGAAATGCAGGGAGAGAAGAAAACACCAGTCACAGAAATGCATTAGCCTAATAATACAAAATTACATGCTAATATAGGCTAACATACATGCAGTGGGAGCAGCAGGGAGCCATCAGGTTACAACAGCATGTGACATCCATGTGGCAGCAAAGACTGATAAGAGTTGGTTACTCTGCAGAAAAAAAAAACGTGTCTGTAACAGCTCAGAGTCAGAGAGAGAAATGAAACAGTTTTTTGACATTACTTCAGTGTATAGACAAGCTGGTAATTGTTTAAAAATAATATATTTGGATTGTGTGCTATGTTCACTGTCCTTTTCAACTGGAATGTATATGTTAGTCTAATATATATATATGCATATATGCGTGGATCATCCAGACCTTTAACCTGCCCACTCAACCAAGTTGTGTAACAGAGTGGTTCTCAAACTTTTTAATGTCAAGGACCCCTAAACTGACGCAAATCAGACCACGGACCCCCACGTGATAAGATTTTTGCTTTTAGCTGTTTTATTACATGAAGTGTATCAAACCCATCACCAAAATAGTCATGATACATTCTGTCATTGTTTACTTATGGATTGAATTAAAGTTAAAAAAAAATAAATTATTTTTTTATTATTAGCTGTTAGATACGAAAAAACTGATACAGCTGTGATAAGCTAATGTCAGTTGATCTCTCTATCAGACTCAGGCACTGACACCTTGGTGTGCACTCCTACACTGCAGCAGTGTGAGAAGTTAAACCACCAGATGTCAGCAAAAGCAAAGTGATAAGTTGCTCTTTAAAAGTCTTTAAAAGGTTATCATTGACTTGAGGCACATTATCTCCATCAAGGAAGCTGTAGATTTCAGTTTGTCTACTATTTAAAAGCAGGCGAGTAAAAAAGCAGCTATGTCAATTGTATTTGTGCATTTTTAAAATCTATAATTAAAACAGTTGTTCTAAAGTGATGTGTTTTTCTTTCAGGATGACCAATGGAGGAAAATCAACTCTTTCTAGAAGTCTACATGAGCAGATACCCAACAGCTGCATCATTGCACAGGACTCATATTTTAAGGTAGACTATGAGGCCTTCGTTAAACAATTTCACTGTGTTTACACTTCAAGAGTTATGTGAGAGCTCGACTGATCACACCGGATGATCTTTTCTTCAGGATGATTCTACGGTACCAGTGGACACCAATGGGTTTAAGCAATATGACGGTAAGCACGCTTCAATTACTCAAAGTCACCAAGGTTCACACAGAATTTAGACTCATTAGATCACATGGAAACTTCTTTGTTTAAATTGATTAGTTATGAGTTTGTCTTGAATCGCTCTAGGTCCAGTTACAGAAAACAAATCCTCCCTAAAACAGCTATTGGCAATATACTATGAATGTCTTCTCTACTGTGTTATATTTTTCTATTTTCTAACTAGCCAAACGAAGACAATTTGATCACACCATGTCACATCTTTGGTGCAGCTGTAATCCATCTATCTCAAAATGGAGGATAGATTTATGGGAGGGTTGATGCAGGGGTGTAGCTACCATAAAGGACACTGAGGTCCTGTCCCTTAGTATTTTGAGGTATTTAGCAGCCTGGGGAGGTTGTATAAATGTGTATTTAATTTCAAATGGACCAGGAAACAAGAAAGAGTTCATAAATAAATAAATAATAAATAAATAATGGAAATAAATAAAAAATGTATGGAAAATATACAAATTTAGGTCACATCTTGTGCATTTTGTCCAATTGACAGTCTAAAAAATATTCAAATAAAAATGAAAGAGAAAGGCATAAAATAATTCAGTGTTTAATCCATTATCAATCTTGTACATAGACTTTTCTGACTGGGGATCCTTCTCATTCTCCTTGCGTCCTGTTTAAGTGCTTGATGCTCTCCACATGGACACAATGATGAGCGATGTTGACAAGTGGCGACGGGATCCCGCCTCGTTCCTGAAGCAGCAAGGCCTGAACCCAGTGCGCACAACGCCGTCCGTCGATAAGGAGGTGTTTGTCCTGATAGTGGAGGGCTTCCTCATTTTCAACTACAGGTACACGAGGAAGGCTTTAGTGAAGTCACTGTGAAAATCAATATTAAGGTCCACATAGTTTAGGTTCAAATGTAGCATTTCTTTCAAGGAGGTTTATCTGTAAATCAACAACAACAAAAACTAAAGCTGAACATGCCTCTATTTCCCCCATAATAAAAGTTACACCCCTGAAATAAAGCATTACTGACAGAATGATACAAGCATTAGCCAACAATGATGGACAAAGTCATTAAAATATGTAATTATGATCTTTTTCAAGATTTTGAAAAGTAACCATTAAGTTGTGGCTGTTCTGTTCTATTCCCCAGGATTTATTTAATGACAGCTTAATGACATGAACAGTTAAAAAGATCTTAATAATGGTGATATGATGTTATATCTTTCCAGGCCTCTGAATGAGCTCTTTGACAAAAGATACTTCATGGAAATACCTTATGATGTCTGCAAGAGGAGACGAAGGTGTCAGATTTTATAATCTATTTAATGGCGTTGTTGGTATCCTGTCTGTTCTGTTTTTCCTTTTTTAATGGATTATGTTTTGGGTTTTTTTTTTGGTTTGATAAACCTGCAGTAAACAAGGAGCAAGAGAAAACATCTTCTTCTTCAGTGTTTTAAATTCTGCTGCTGTCTTTGACAGTTCAAGAGTGTACACGCCCCCTGACCCTCCTGGCTACTTTGATGGATACGTGTGGCCAATGTACCTGAAAAACCGCCAGAAAATGATGAACATGGTGTCTGGAATTGGTGAGTGTCAAACCAAAGATGCCGTGTATACAGTATGTGACAGGGAAAGAAATGTGATTTATTGGAGCAGTATGGTGTTGGTGTGGTTGAGACCCCTAACATCATGATAAATAATGAAATTATTATCACTTCTGCAGTTTTACTTGACATATATATATATATATATATATATATATTATATATATATATATATATATATATATATATATATATATATATATATATATATATATATATATATATATATATATCTTTTTTTTGTTTTGTTTTCCAGAATTTCTGGATGGACTAAAGCCAAAGGAAGAGCTACTGGCTGCTGTGTGTACAGATGTTTCTCAGGAAATAGAAAGTCTCAGGGGTATGTTGCAGGGATTTGTGTCTCTGCCAAATAATCTTGAAAGAGGCAACAAAATGTCTTTCTAAAGATTTACTACATTCCATGTTTTCCAAGATATTTCTGGAGCTGTCTCACAACCGGACAATAGAGTACATAGTAGTAGAGTCCACAGCACACTCATAAATCAAGTGTTTTTTAGTGTGCCTGCTGACATTTTAATTGTTTTGTGAGCATACTATATTTAAAGTCTGCTAGAATTATTATGTAGTATTGGACTGGGACACAGTGTCCCTGTAGGGTGAAGAGATAGTAATGGTTTAGTTTTAGGAAAGACATGGTAGGTTGCTTACTCCTACCTTTGAGACAATCAAGATGTTGAAACCTTGAGTAGTTTTAGGAATACATACAACAATATTAGTAATACATCAACAACAAATTACATGAAAGTCATTAAACGATTTCCCTTTCCTTTCAGTCAGTTGTGAATGTTTTAAATTCAGAAGTATAATTATGAATGCGACTTATGTCAGACAGACCGTCTTCAAGACCTTTCAGTTTACTTAAAATACTGTATTTGAAAGAAAGAAATTACTAATTTAATTTTGTGTATTTTAATTGCAGAGAAAGACTGAAATGTTCAGAGTTTTATTTGTATACCTTTTGAAGATGGAGACTTCCCCCCCCGGATATCAGGAAAGACTTTGGACTTTTTGGACTAATGTGTGACTGAAAGGACCAAACCAAGTGTTTCTTTGGTCTTGTGTGAATATGCTAATGTCTATACAGTATCTACAGTGGTAACTATTGCTGACATACACTCTGGGAAAACATATGAAGTTTTAGTGACTTATGACATGCTGTCGACTGACTGTTTTCGTCTCTAACAGCTTTGTTTTTTTTATACACCCTCCACATATTTTATGTCTAGAGGGTTTTGATCCGAAAGTCTGATTCTATTTTATTTAACCATATATGTACATATACATATATAATTAACTTGTGATTTCACTCCATATAACCACATACATAAAGTGTGCATTGTTGCTAAAAATCATTTCGTTAGATTTACTCTCTCATATTTTGCATATTACAAATATTACAATGATCATTACATACTGTGGTTTGGTGAGCATCAATTTTTGTCAAAGACTTGAATTGTGTCCATTAAAGCAGCTGCTTGTCTACAACACACAGTTGACAGATGTCTGCGTATCTGTACCATTGGTGGCAATTTGTCTCCGCCTGGTGAGTCTGATACACTGGAGACAGAGTACTCTATGACCTACCTGAATGCAATCTCCATTCAACTCTGCTTATCAGTAAATGATAAGGAAAGACACATCAAATTTTATGTCCAATCTGGGTGCAGGAGGTTTTTTACTACCAGTTAAGTAGAAGAGCAAAGTTTTGTTGAGCTTGTGGTGTTCGCACTGGTGCTCCACCTGCACCCCCACAAGGCCACAAGCACACGGCTAAAGTTCTGATTCAAGCCATTCCACTGATGCATCTTGCTTTAACTTCAAAATAATTTGGCATTTTACTGCCAAATATGCTTGAATCCACAACATCAGCTGGTGTTTGTGACTTCCTGTATAGAAAATTTTCCAGAATTATAAATTTCATACACTCAAGTTGATCGTTTCCAAAATGTCATATTTTTTTGGGCTAGTTGGTTAATTTATGTGTGACTTATTTGCTGAAAACATTATCTTGAATTAAGCCAGCAGTGCACAAAAAATATAATTTCACTGTTGGGACAAGTGCTCGGAGGGTTTTTAGCCCTGTCGGTATCCACTATCTTCTTACCCTTTTCACTGTTTCTTTCTTTCTTGATAAAACCAAACAACACCCAATCTAATGTACTAAGATGTAACTACTAACCATCTTGCTCAGTTGTTATAAAACATTTGTCTCCTTCTGTTACCCAATCTATGTGGAAACCTTGCCTATTACAGTAACAGCTGAGAGTATTGCAACAGTGAGATGAAAGGATATGCACATGATGCTATCCAAAAATAAAAATGATTTAGTCCAAAATGTCTACACAGCATTACTGGAGAAACATCTATTCAGATTAGGCTCAAGACTTTCCTCTTTGATAAAGTTTATAATTAGGGCTGGCTCAGCTGAGCCCTGAACTGTCCCTTAGTTATGCTGCTGTAGGCATAGACTGGCGGGAGATATATTAAGTACATTCAAAATAGGTGAAGCAGATGGAATTGATACATAAAATACATAAAAGCAAGTGAAACAATAAAACTAGTAAATAACAGCAGGTGAAATGCAATATTATTAGAGGGTGAAGGTTAATCTGAAGAGGTAGGTTTTAAAAAGAGATATTAATGTGTCCAGGTCAGTACAGTCATGAATGTGTATGGAGTGCCAGAGGGAGGGGGCAGCGATGGTGAAATTTCTCGTCAAGTGTTTGCTCATGGTGGGATTGTTTCGTCTGTGTAAATAATATTACTTCTGTTATGAATTGGCACTATATAAATAAAGCTAAATAAAAATTTAAAATTGAATTTAATTAATTCATTTAAAATAGCAACCCTTGGAGTGGTATCCATAGTGTTACAGAACCAAAACAGGGGCCCTGCAAGAAAGTTTGGCCTCAGTTCCCACAGTCTGTGCACGCCTCTGCAAATACTTTCATATTTCGACTGAAACCTGTTTGACAGCATGTTGGATCCCAGTGTGCTGTGAGAACCGAGAGCTGCTTTCTTACATGCCTACATGTCATTGTTGTGAACTTTATTGCAAAACCTTCCTCTGAGCCATGAACCTGCATCGCTTCCCACCACACTAAATGATTAAAACTTTGTCAAAAAGTCCGTGCTGTCAACTAGAATATTTATGTTTACCTCAGCAGTCGACTTGCCGGCATGTTGAGTAGAGGAGTCATCACATGTAAATCTGGACATTCCTCACTTCCCTGTACCGACTATATCCTCTTCCAACTTGACATATATAAGTCTGCTGCAGCTTCCCTCATATGTCAACACTCTCGAACAGCCACACAACACTGAATTAAGCCTTGATTGGTCACTATATTTAATAATTGAGGTGGCAACATGTTCAGTACAGGATTTTCAACATATCTGTGTTTGTTTTTTGCCTGCTGCTTCTGTTGCAGCAGAGCTATGCCGACTAAACTCAACCACGAGGCTGTGAACGACAGACCTGTGATCGGTAAGTGAAAAGTTCAACTAGGCTTGATGCAAAGATTTTTGCAAAACAGAGCAAATTACATTTTTTTGTTTCTGTTTAACTGTTAATTTGTTTTCACCGGGTGCTGACAGCTGCTGTGTTTTTGTCCCACAGGTATATTGACTCAGATAGTTACAGATGACGTTATGAAACCATTCGGGAAGACCTACATACCTGCCTCCTATGTGAAATACATTGAGTCTGGGGGCAGCAGAGTGATTCCTATCAGGTGGGTTGAGTCCTGTCATGTTGTTTAGAACAGTAAAGATAGACCCTATCATACGTTTTACTGGAGTTTTTTTTATGTGTGATCTGTCACTTTCAGTGAGGCAATTATGGATGACACAAAACAATCAACCCACTTTTTTAAATCTGAAGAATAAGAGTTATTTAAGGATGATGTCTTTTGAATGCAGCATGTTTGGAACTGTAGTTGACATTAGTTGGATGTTAACCCGTGATTTAATTTACTGTTACATCACTGATATTTGCTGCATTTGTGTTTGTTTGTCACCTGGTTTCCTCTGTCTCCTTCTGTATCATCTGTAATTTCGTGCTGTCTAAACAATGTAAAGTAATAGAGTGAGTAAGAGTGGGCTTTTTAACATTTTGTCTTCCACAGATTGACTCTTACTACAGCTGAATATGAAAACATCTTCAAGAAGATAAATGGGTGAGCTCTGACACTATAAAGGTGTACATTTATATCTTAAATAAATACACTATTTGCATTTTTTTCCCTCAGTGCTCACTCATCTGTCAATGCTCTAACTGTGTGATGTGTGTTCAGCTTGGTTTTCATTGGGGGAGCTGCAGATCTGGAGACATCAGAGTTTGCCAGGGTGGCGAGGATTTTTTACCAACTCGCTCTCACGGTTCGTACAGCAGAGCATTATGTTAACTGTCTGTTAGTCTCTCTGTCTATCTATGTATCTTCTTTTTAAGATTATCTTTCTGTCCTTTATCTGTCTTTTGAACATTTTCATTAGACAGAAACCACTTTACTCAAATATAGTGCTGAAGTACAGATTGAGGGACTGTTCTTTCTAGAGTACCCAGAGTCTACCTATCTAGAGTATTTTAATTTTGTAAGACCTCATAGCATTTCAGAGGGGATAATTAAAATTACATGAAATGATTGCTCCTATTGTATTTACTTTGCATTATTAGGTTTTGGTGGCAAAACATACAATAAGCTAATAAAACATACTGACGTTAAAACCAGCTGACAGTATGTGGAATAGTTTAATCAGCTCTGACATTAAAATACTTTTGACTGTTATTAATCAGCATTTTAATACCAAAGGAATCAAGTTTTGCACTGAGGGCTAATATATTTGATTTTAAAGTGCAGTTTATTGTAATATCATAGTCCTTGCAGTGAATGCAGGACATGTCATTGCTTTTCTGCCACAGACTGAACAAAAGTTTGTCCTAAAATTGTTAAGAGGAGTTGCGTGTTGTTTTATTGTTTCAGACATAAAAACTCCAACTGTGTGTGTGTGTGTTTCAGGCCAATGATGCAGGGGACTTCTTCCCCATCTGGGGGACATGCATGGGCATGCAGCTACTGACTGTACTGGTGGCTGGGGAAAATTTGCTGACCAACACTACAGCTGAGAACATAGCGATGCCGCTCAACCTGACCACAGGTTATAGGTCACTGCAGTATTGTTGGTCGCTTTATGTGTAACCCACAGCCTTAATTTATATTTTGAATTCAGGGAGTATGTTCTAAATAGATATACAGTATGGGGAAGCATTTTAATTGTTTGTTAACATTTTCTGCAAAACTGCATGTACTGAGTCGTACCACTTGGTGTCAGTAGAAGGAAGTTAGAAATCGGAGGGGTTTTTGAATCATAATCAGAATCAGAAGGAGCTTTATTGCCAAGTAGTGTATTACACATACGAGGAATTTGCTGTGGTGATATTTTGGCCCCCAAATGAAAACTTCTGCTACTATCTGCACATTATTTCAGTATTTAAATTTTGTAATAATGTTTGTTTATATATATATATATGTTTAAATACCCCTCAACCTTTCTACCTGCAGAGGCCGACTCCAGTAGGATGTTTAAGGGTTTCCCCCACAGGCTTATGAAGGCTTTGACCCAAGAACCTCTGACTGGCAATTTTCACAACTATGGAGTTACAGTAAAGGTACAGTAAATCCCTCTGGTAAACAGTGTCACTGTACTGTGTGTTTCACTTACCCTTGGGGTTTTCTTTGTTATTGTGCTGAGAAATTAAATCAGAAACAATCACCAAACAGCAAGATGCATGATTTCCAAGATTTCTGTTACACAGGACTGAAACTTTTGACTCACTAGGACCTTAATGAGACAAACAGTACAGATGTTTACATGATCAATTTGCAGGTACAGCATTTATTAAGCATTACTTCGCCTGCAATAAAAAGAGTTTCCCCCCATAAACTGTACGGTTAATATTGGATGGATTACTTCCCCAGGGTTCACGGTGTTGCAGATGGTTTGTGCTATATCTGCTTATATGGTGCACAATGCTAAATTAATTTGTGTTTAAACAAATTACCATACTGCAAACCTGGGGCCATTCAATATTGCAGCACAGGAAGACTGTTCACAGTCTACAGTGAGATGGGTATTTTTCGCCCTGGGGGTATTCTCAGCTAATTAATCTGTTCATGTACTTAAGAACGATAGATAAGATAAACTTAATTGATCCCACGCAGAGAAGACACGGCATCCAAAAAAAGCACAAGAAATCATGCTTTTTATAGACAAGCAACCATTAGAACTTTATGAATATTGCGCACAATATGGAGGATTAAAATAATAATAAGAGCTTATAACTACCAAAGGTAATGAAACAAATGTTCTTACAGACCTTCCAGGACAATGACAAGCTGAAGAGTTTCTTCTCCCTGCTGTCGACAAACATTGCTGAGAATGGAGCCCACTTTGTCTCAACCATAGAAGGTTAAGATTATTTTATATTCATTTGCCAATCTTAATCATTGCTCAGAAACAGAGTTGTAATAACATATATACATACATTTATATATATGTATATATGTTATCTATCTATCTATCTATCTATCTATCTATCTGTCTCAAGATAAGATAAGGTAAGATAGATAACTAGAGCTATACTTATTTTTTGCCAGGTAAAACATATCCCTTCTATGGAGTACAGTGGCACCCAGAGGTGAATCGTTTTCAGTGGGACAAAAATCTGAACTTTCCTCACTCCCCTCATGCTGTTGAGTTATCTTCTCTGCTCGCTGAGTTTTTTGTCAAAGAAGGTAAGATGACAAACACACATTATCAATAATAATAATTACTGATCGTATCATTAGGTATTAAGTATGGAAAGTAAGTATATCACTTATGGATTAACCACAAATTGACATTCATGCGTTGCTTTAAAAAATTTTTTTACTTATAAACATTTTAATTAATTTAATTTCCAGAAAGTTTACTGTATCGCAGTTACATGAGATTGTATCCAAAATGACCAACCCCAGCGTTGACAAGTGTTGAAATGAGAGCTGATATTTTAGATAACTGTATAAATGTATCATAGTAAATGTCAACTCAGATATACATACATCTTTCTTTCTATGTGATATCTGAATAATTACTAGGCATTTAATTTGCACATTAAAATCTAAAAAAAACATCTCCTCCTTAGATTAAAAGGGCTTGCTTCCTTATTTTAATTTACTAAGCACAGCTCCTCCTGTTCACCACCTTCTTTCTTTAACAACCAGTTTTAAGACTCTGAAAACTGAAATATAATTTAACTAGTATCAGGACAGGATTGAGCTGTACACCAGTTTAACTTGTACCTGATGTTCTGAACTCTGGACAAGTAAGTAGTAATAACATTAATGTTTACTTTACTGATTTAGCTGGCGTTACAAAGCACAATCAAGAGTCAGCCTTCACTTCCCAGGTGTTGGGGAAAACAGACTTTTATTAACGGGACCTACACTGGACGTTTACTGCCAGACTGACAATTTACTGCTAATATATCTAATAACTCATCTCATTTGCTTGCCCACTCGTTCGCTACGCACACACAGGACACCCAGGGGGTCAGCCAAGCCATGAGTGTTACTGTGCTCACACAGTGTGAGAGTGAAAATCATGAGTTGTGCATTGATATTAAAGATTGTGTTAAATTCTAGTAGGGTGGTAGTAGGTTATTCATTCTGCAGCGGTGGTGTGCCGAACACAGGGGAACACCACTGACTGTCCGGGTGCTGCACTTCCGCACTTCAGAGAGTTCCCGCCTTTTGGGTTCCATCAACATTACCATATTAATAAACATGTAAATAATCGATTTTTGACATTTTTGAATCGATTCAAAATCTTTCACGTCCGCATCGCGATGCATCTAAGATTAAATTTTTTCTCCCACCCCTAAGTGATACCTATTTAAATTAACCTAAAACAACATTAGGGTTAGGGTCTCCAGGGTGCACATCCAGGGATCAAGCATATGTACCAGCTGGCCTTAGCATTTGCAAAGAGAAATCTTAATTTGATTAGGAAAGTCCCATTATTAACAAGTATGGGTACAATTGACACTGCAGGTATTGGTCAAGTGAACAAAATGATGATACATTTTTTAAAATTCTATTAGTTACTTGATACATATTTTGCCACTTTATCAGTGTTATACACATGGAGGTTTTAAGAATAGAAATAATACTTAAAAAAAACCTGCATTGTTGAAGGTTGACGATATAGATATCGTACATATAAATGACTTAGAAGTTTAGTCATCAGAGATATTTCCTGTGGTGCCATTTCTATTGAGCTAGTTAATATGTATCACTGATGGTATTAGACTATTATGAGCGATGTTGCAAATCAATGAGCAGGACTGCTTCATGGAAATATATTATTTTAATATAATTATTGCTGAAATGTGATGCAATACATTAATTTGTGTAGGTATTTAGTTTACAGGATGAACCAAAAAAAGACAGCACTGTGATATTGTATCCATAAACTGTTTCTCAATTGATTTTCCAGTTTTCATTTTGCACAATATATATATATCGATTTTGCAATGTAGATACAGTCAACACCCAGATAGACAAGGAGAGCTTGAATAACAGACCAACCAAGATGTTGTTGGAGAAAACCCATTATAAGTAAAACCAAATACACTCAAAACAATTCAGATATTAAATTGAACATTTCTATATCCTGTTTCTACCCAATTTCCCCATGGAGATGATTCAGCTATTCTAGTGTAATCACATGCATCTCACTTCTGCTTTGTTTAGGAAGGAGAAGTTTACATCAGTTTGACAATCCTGAGGAAGAAGCCTCGTCACTGATCTACAGCTACACGCCTATCTATGCTGGAAACTTCACAGGATACGAGCAGCTCTATTTCTTCTGAGTGTCTCTGTCCATGTGTCACTCTGTGTGTTTACAACACACCACTTCATATACAGTGTATTGCGCAACAGAACATTTAACATACCGTTTATGGTGTAACATACCACTTCACATCAGACTTGCACTCACAAAGTCTGTCTGGTTTTAAATTACAGCTCAGCCTCTGAACAAAGTGGTTGATTTCAACCACTTGTGTGCTGATTCAGAAATGCTTTTCATCACACTGTGTAGAGATTACTACACCAGTAATTGTTTTACCCTTTAAAAACTTTTATATGCCATTATTGCTATTAAAGTGCTTATTTGTATAGATAAACTGCCATTTTGAAAATGAATTCCTTTGTGTTAGAACGTGTGGATGGATCTTTAAGGGAAGTGAAGTGGGTGGGTGTGTTTATTTGTATTTGTTTTTTTTGGAGGGGGGGGGGGGCATTTTTTTGTCCAGGGCAGTAAAGTAAGGGTCATGTCCACTATATTTTTTTCTGGGTTGTTGACAATCTGCGATTAAAGACCAACATTTGGCGGACATACTTTATAGGCTTCACAACACATAGGCCAATAAAGAGGTGAAGATGTATCCTAACTATCTCACCAAAAGCCCCATTTAGTAGCTGTTCTGGAGCTTTCGACACTTCCACATGATCTTCATCTGCAGATGGAGTTTCCATTTTTCTTGAGCTTTTACACAAACCTCTTCAATATAAAACTTAAGATTGAAAGTTCATTGTTGATTTTGGAAACCGCAGTTAACAGAACAATCTCACCACAATGTCCATTCAGTGTTTTCAAGGTCAAGAATGAACCTTCAGTCTGAAATAAAGGATTAATTCCTTCAGTATTTCCAGAGTTTTATCCCTGGCAGCGTGGATACGGCTTTGAAACAGCATTTATACCTTCATCAAGCAAAATGAAATTCACAATGACAATGTGAAAATGTTGAAAAAATTAAAAATAAATCGCAATTGATTGATTCTGAAAGTGTGTGCCCACATGTGCGCACGCCTCCCTGCATGTAGGGGAGACCGGTGATGGTTGTAAATCAGATCATTTGTAACACGGGCAATTTCTCTATTCAGGAACAATTTATAAATCATCAGGATTCGCTCTGCACATGCTCAGTTTAGACCTTATTCCACATGTGAAAAAGTAGCGTCTTTTGGCAGGCACAGCAAATTTTGATACTACAAAGGGAAACATAATTATTTGATAATTTTTAAACTCATCAAACATGTTTATAGTATGTATGTATAATATAGTATGTAGATATCTTTCATGCATGTTGTTAGTGCTAATGTTAATGCTGTAAGCTGTAAGGTAAGCTAGGTTATGGCTACAAGAATCAGGGTTAGTTGTAACAACAATGAAGATGTTACAACCTATTCCAAGAAAAGAATTTGCTGTATTTATATGTTTTCTTAGAATTTCAGTTAGTATCTGATACACCCACACACACACACACACACACACACACAGAGCAATGTTTAATTGTTTTATTATTATGTTCAAATGTTAGTGTAAGACCTGCAGGCTTCTTTGTGGGCCCAGGAGGCCTGAACTCCTGGAGTGCCATATGTCTGTCACCACTGTGACGGTGTAAGACAAACAAGCAAAAACACACACACTATTAATTTGGTGCACATAGCATTGCCTGCTTTGTAATTATTATTATGCTCACTATGACTGACATTAACATATTAAACACATTAAGATACTTGAATTACCACTACACACACAGACACATCAATCATGTTAAAAAATGTGTGTTGAAAAAAAGCTTTAAATATCATGTATTTCTCGTATTCCTTATTACATATTGTCACATTTCTCCCTGGGGTATGTTACTACTGACCCGGACTATGGGGTGAATTGTAATGTTTCCCTCCTTCTGTTTGAAACTAAACCATGCACTTTCTGTCTATGTTGCAGCTATAACAGCTACACCATTTAATAGCAGACACATGTAACTAGTTCGTATCACATTTTGAACGCACTGGCTTAAAATAGCTCCAAGATACAGACAAAATGGTATAACCATCCCTGGTCTCTCCTACTACTTCATGCCACCCCTGCATTAAGTCAATGCGCCACTTGGGCCATCCCAGTCGAAAAAGTCTGTACAAATAGGACTGCATTATATCATATAAGCATATATCAAATGTTTTGTTATGTAAAATATAACTAATTATAAGTATCAAATCTGAAAATAAATGTAGTGGAAAAGTACAGTATTTCCCTATGAACAGGGGAGTAGAAGTCTAAAGTAGCCTGAATCTAAATACTCAAGTAACGTAGCCTACAAGTTTTCCTACAGCATAATTGTACTTAAACGTACATATCACTAATTGTTTCAGCTATAAATAGAAACATAGCCCTACACCATAGGACACAGGAAGTGTGGGACAAACATTGGTCAGTAGGGGCCTGTTTTCACCCTAGAGGGTTCATTCGGCCCTGTAGGAAACAGGACTTGGACTCACTATGGTATATATATATATTTTAAATATTTGCACTGACTCTTAGTTAGCCTTAAAAACACACATGCTTAAGTAAACGGCAGATGATGACAGGAAACACAGTCGGGCCGTCACAACACACGCCGACCCGAGACACCTGACGATTGGTCTCGCCGCGTGTCAGTAAGCGTCTGCGGGGGCGGGAGCAGGAAAACCGAGCCAGTGCTCTAGTTTTCCCCCCTCTCTCAAACAGATGCTGCTGCTGCTGGGTCAGTGTAATGCCGTCTATAAATAATAACAGAGTCAAAACAGCCACAGCGAGTACCAGAGAGGGGAAACCCACATCACCATTTCTCCTTTTCCCGAATCTGCAGGAATAAACCAGCGCGCAAATAATGTGACAGAACCCCGCTCCAACTTTCGACAAACGCTTTTTAGCCACCTTTTTTTTATTCGTCTTTTACGACCTTTTTCATATTTTTTTCACAGGTGCTGTTGCCTCGTTCACCTCTCACACTGCTGGCAGACAGTAACCGGCTCTGCTTGTGCACTTTATTGCGGTAATCCATCTGCTCGGGCGCTGCGGCTTGTTGGTAAACACGAATCGGATCCCGCCTGCGAGGACTCCCTCTGGTGCATTGATGCACCCGTTTCAGTGGTGTAACGGTGAGCAGTCATTTTATATTGTGAGAGCGCTGTTAGGCCTCTGTGATATATAAGCTAATGTACAACACAGCCTGTTATTTCAGCGGAGTGAAGCTCTCGTGGCGGTTCATATTACAGAATAAGACTGCAGCCTCTGAATTGCTCCAGTGTTTTCTAAATTTACACATTTCCATTGTGAGAAAAGACATTTAGTTTTCACCCTATAATAAAGAAAAACATCCTACTCCTATTAAGACTTCTTAACAGTGAGCTAAAAGTGTCCTATATGACTTATTGGGATCACTTTATTTGAAATCCCCCTATTTAGGACACATAAGCAGCACATAAACATGTCCTGACTGTTTTATAACCATAGACTGTTCAATAACATGCTATACTGTAGTTGTATAAAGTACTGTATGTTAGTGTTACTATGAGTAACTATAACTGTTGGTATGGGCACCCATAAGTGGAAGCTCACAGGACACTGACAGACAATTTAGCAAGAGACAGTCGTCATAATATAAAATATGTCTTCATATGATCATTGTCGACAAATATTGTGCAGCGATAAACACTTAAAAAATGTCCTTATATCTGCTTACAACTACATTATTAGAGGTCAACGTTAGTCAACGTTAACTGAATGAATCCATATAAATATATATAAATTTTAGTCTTTTTTTGACTTTTTTTCCAAGCAAAAATGCCAAACATTTCCTGCTCCTCTGTATTTTAAGTTACCTACAGTATCCCTTAAATATTCCAAAAATATTCCTTAGAGGGTGGCTTTATTGCTGTGAGGAACATGTTAAGACACCAATTATCTGAATGTTTAATCAATGTGTGTATTGATTGGTAGAATAACAGACTGCTTAATCAATAGAATCCTTTATTTCCATCTAAATAATTCCAATTGAGAGCCACACAAGGCCAGTCATTGTGCTCTCTATATAACATGTTGTCTCTCTGGGTAATCTTGTTTACACTGACTGACTCTATCTGCGGTTTCTCACATACACTTGTCTTGGCCTCGACCAATTATCTTCGAAAGCCAAGAGGTCTGAACAACCTCTCTGTCTGTGTTTGAAACTGCTGTTTGCGTCTGCAGGCTCATCTGTCATGTTAAAACAAAATGAGTTCCTTCATGGCGGTGAAATGGTGTGCCGGTGCTTCATTGTCACGGTGAGATCTGGTGAAGATGATGGATTAGTGGCCTTTTCCCTCTGACTTCGCCTGTTTGAGCGCAGCGGCCTCAGCAACCTCCTCGGTGGGCTGTTGGTGGTGTTCAGACAGGAACAATTGCTCCCTTTGTGCTGCTCAACTCCCTTGCTATTCATAGGGGAAACACACACACACACACACACAGTATCAAAGAGTGACATTCTGCTGGAAAAATGAAGCAGTATCAGGCAGCCACAGCTCAGCGTCTGCGCTGTGTGTCTCTGTGTGTGTGTGTGTGATCATGTGTATTTGTTCCTGTTTATGCGTGACACATGTAGCGCTTTCATGCATATGATGGGGAGTTTTGGGCCCAGCCTACTTTCTTCTTGAAAACCGGCAGCATTCATGCAGGCAGGCAGGCTTGAGTGTTCTCCCCTCCACCTCCTCCCCATGTGAACTGCTAAATATTTGATGGGAAGTTCTGTCTTTGGTGCAAGCAGACGCAGCTTTGTGTGAACACGGCGTATATAGGACAAAACCCCACCAGGCATCTCGTAGGAGCTGTCAGGGAAGCTGCCATAGACGAGGTATTTTACAGCTCTGTGAAATCACGGAGGGACTTCCCTGCCTTTTTTGAACAACAACACGAGAACCTGTCTGACAGCTGAAACTCAATACGACTGGCTCCGATTCTCTCTGTTGCCAAAATAAAGAACTTTCACCATAGCTAGCCTCCATCCTTTTTTCTGCATCTGCTGCTCTTGGCGCCATGGCAACGGGCTGCCTCCTGAGTGTGCCGATATATAGGTCAGTGGTCATACAGGGCTTCACCCAAAGCAAAATACCACATATAGCTGTTTGCTTTCCACGCATACAAAGGTGGAGGAGGAAGACGTGAGTGCTCATCCATGCAGACAGCTGTGACATGACAAACACACACCAAGACTTGAATACAAATGACCCAGATTTGGATTGTAAGTCTGCAGCAGCATCACAGGTGATTTAGCTGATGTTAGCTCATTGCAGATATATCTGAAGATGTGTTTTGAAACAGAGTCACACACCAGAGAGTA